GATACCTGGAATGGTAATAATACCGCCGAGGAATGACGTCAAATGCTGGAAAAATATTGCGATAAAATAAGTGTTATTATTTTAACGCAGGAAAGTTGAACTAATAGCACTTGAAAAATATTGCGATAACATTACTGGAGTCATTATGAATAATTGGGACTATAAACTTACTCCTCTAAAGTGAAGTAAACGTTACGAAATATTATTCAGTTCGTGCATACGTTTTACTGATAATAATTACGTCTGTTTCGCCTACGTTGCACAGACGTTCAACCAACGGCCGAAATCGATAAATTTCTTACGTACGTTGCAAAATATTCGCGCACCGACGGCGTTGCTTTGAACTTTTTTTTTCACTCTACCTGAATTTTTCAAGTTTTTAGTTCAGTAATCTCGCTTCAATTATATATTTTTTAATTTATCCATGTTTCACTGTTATTTCATAATCATTTTACTTAATGTAATATTAATTTTAGGAATATTCAGATCGAATACTAGCGTTGGTTTTTTCCGACCAAAAATTATGCGATGAAAATCCATTGCTTAATGTTTCATCGCTGAATCGATGGAAAATTGTTATCGATTTTACATCTTTTGGTCGGTATAATCCTGGCGCAAAACACAGTTAGATGGAAAATAGACGGACATTAATAAAGTAGTAAAATATAATTAGATGGAAAACATATGAGCATCAATCAAGTCTTAAATACAATTAGATGGAAAATTGGCGAACATTATTCAAGTAGAAAATTATAATTAGTTGGGAAATAGATGAACGTTAATGAAGTCGTAAAGTATAATAGGCTAGAAAATAGATGAACAATAATCAAGTAGCAAAATCTAATAGTATTAAAAATATGTTAACAATAATCAAGTCGCAAAATCTAATAGTATGGAAAATAAATGAACAATAATCAAGTCGCCAAATATAATAGTACGGAAAATAGATGAACTTTAATCAAATCGCCTAACCCAATAGGATGGAAAAAAGAAAAATATATAAAGAAAATAGAATAGACCAAGTCGCAAAATCTAACAAAATAGATGAACATTAATCAAGTTGCAAATTATAATAGGATGGAAATAAAAGAGCGTTAAACAAGTCGAAAATTATTATAGGCTTGAAAATAGATGAACAATAATCATGTTACAAAATCTAATAAAATATATGAACATGACGATGGACCGGGACGTGTTCGCAGTCTCAAGTTACAGCTGCACGCCGTCGCTCATGACACACACACGGACACACAACGACTCATGATACACACACACACAGACCTGTCTCTTATACACATCTAGATGTGTATAAGAGACAGCACACACACACACACGGACACACAACGACTCATGATACACACACACACAGACACACACACACACACAGACACACACACACACACACACGGACACACAACGACTCATGATACACACACACATACAGACACACACACAGACACACACAGACACACACAGACACACACAGACACACACAGACACACACACACACACACGGACACACAACGACCTCTTTGTGGTGCTAACATCACCGCTATGTCCACAACCCTCTTCATCATCACATGTACTCTGTACTTCAAGTCCTCTTCTATCCTTTTCACTTCACGTATGCTGATCTCTCCTACTCTCTTCTCAGTTAATTTCTCTTCTTCTCAGTTTACTTCTCTTCTTCTCAGTTCGCTTTTCTTCTCAGTTCGTTACTCTTCTCAGTTCGGTTCTCTCTTTTCTTCATTTTACGTTCCTCTCCTCTTTTCTCTTTACTCTTCACTTCACGTACCCCTCTCTTCATCCATTCCACGTACATCTCCCTTCTCTTCTATCTTCTTCACTCTGCGTCTTCTTCTCTTCATTTCTCTTTTCTTCATTTCTTGTCTCTTCTTTTTCTATTCCCTCATTTGTGCTCTCCACGCTGTAATTTTTGAAAGTTTTACTTCACTTTTCTTCTGTGATTCTTCTTTCTGTGTCTTAAAATTCTCGCACTTTGTCTTTTCTCGTTCTTAGCTTCTACAACACCTCCACCACATTCCCCATTCATCTTATTTTCCACCCTATTCTGCAAATTTCTTCTATTAGTATGTCCGTAAATGTTGTCACGTCTATCACTTCCTTTCGCCACTTGGTCCTAGCATAAGGAAAGGTCGCTTCTTTAATTAATTTATTTATTCGTAGCACTATTTAAAAAATTTTCTGTTAGCTCCTTTTTCTTGTTTCTTTTCTGTTTAAATCTTCATATTCGTTACTTGTTGCCCTTCTTCATTACTTCACTGTCCTATACTCTAATTTCTTTAACATCTGCCGTCCTACTTTTAGATCGGGCTCTCATTACTACTTGCCTATTACTTATCATGTTACTTACCATTAGTTGAAAATACATTAGAAGCCAGGAAGGAATAATACAATGACTAGAACGGAAGTAATAATTGAATAAGTAAGAAAGAATGATCGAATATATAAGCAAGAAGGAACAATGGAACAAGTAGGTAGGAGTGGAAATAGTAGGATGGAAGGATGAAGTGAGTAAAAGAAATGATGAGCTAAATTATGGTACAGTATAAGTGGAAGGAAGGAAGTAAGTAAGCCGAGATAGCGTCAAGTGCTGTGTTCCGGCCGCCAGACGTGACTAGCTCTGCTATTTCGGAACTGCTTCCTCCAGCTAACCCTCTTCATATCTGAGTGTATACGTAAATACTCAAATACGCACAAATATACTCAATGTACTAATACAATACTCAAATACGTACAAATATACTCAATATACAAATACAATACTCGAATACATACAAATATACTCAATATACAAGTACAATACTTAAATATATATACGTACAAATATACTCAATATAAAAAATATACAAACACAATACTCAAATACGCACAGTAAACCATGCTTCAGTATATAAAATTTTGTATTAACTATAAACAAAAATATTTTCAGTAATAGCCTGTACGTATGGATATTTCAGCCGGTTAATTTATTCAAAATTATTCGTGTCTAGCCTTAAGTCTTCTCTCCGCGCTTTTATCTCTTGAATTCGTTTTGCTCAAATAACAGCTGTTTGTGCATTAACCGAAAATATTCCTGTAAAAACACATAAGATTATGGGATGGAAAATAGATTTAAGGGAATCTTAAATCTATTTTCCATCCTATAATCGAACGTAATACAACAAAAATCATGTAATACTACAAGAAATACTTTTATTACAAAAAATACACCCTCAATACATACATCAGTCAAATACGTAAATATGGATGTATTGATCTCCAAAAATGAAAATTTCCATTATTTGCCAGGTGCGTTGATTTTTCTTTTAAATCGTCACGAATTCTTTTAAATCATCTTTGTGCGCTTAGATTTTTGAGGTGAACATGTAACTGTCGAGCCTGTCAGCTGAGGCCTATAGTGTGATCTTTCGTTAACTGATTGCGTTGTTTAACTATTGATTCGATAACTCTGGATTTATAAAAGGTACTTGTAGGCATTTCAGTTTAATAATTTTATTCACGAAGCAGATTAAAAAGACTTATACAGTTGGGAATAAATTGGTATGACTGAAGTTCATCTAGGATTCAAGTTTCACGATTAAATTGTTCAGAAAAAATGGACATGTGCAATGGTAGCGTATCATGGATGCTTTTGAAAATCTGCTGTATTCGGCGCCAACTAACTCTCCGGCTATTAATTCTCCCAACAACCTACAGTTTCCGTTTATAATTTAACCTTACAAAACAAGTCCACATATTTAAGTTTGATAAATCATGTTGAAAATGCCTTTTCCAACAACTCCACCGAGCGCGTATAACTCTAGATAGACTCGTTGAACTCGAATGACGTCCACGTGACATGTGTACACTCAGAAAAATGTATGGGACATATTATTGAAATAGTTACGTATTCCAGCGAGGTCTGGTGCTCTTGCGTGGCCTGGGACTGTTACATCTAAAATACATACTAAGGATATACCTGCTGCGTGTAGCACTGATACGTCCTTCCCTCGGGCCGAACTGCGTCAGGATGACCCACATAAAAGCCAAAGTACATCGATTTTTAGACAAAGACTTCTTAATTTCACTGTAAGGCTCTCCGATTGGCGTTTAATTTTCAAGACATCAAATTATACTGGCGCGTGCAGCTCATTTTGTGCATTTTGTGCATTTTTGTGCTCATTTTGTGCATTTGTTTGTGTTTGTATTTTTCCGCCATTCAAGAAAATTAACGAGACTTTTTCCAAATAGCGATGCATTTTTGTCATTTTGTTGGTCATTTTTACCCAATTTGGTCCGGCTAATAGGCGTATCAGAGCTACGTTGTGCTATGGGCAAGGAAGTGTTTCACTATTTGAACAACATTACCCAATCTCTTTTATGAGTGTGGGTGTGATCACAAATTTTTTCAGTTGAGGACCCGTTTATGTTCGAATTAAGGTAGTATTTTATTTTATCAAGATTTGAATTTAATCATTTATTCATCTCGTGTATTATTCATGAAAAATTTTTCCAGGATAGTGTTTGTTTTTACCCACCTCTCTTCCTGAATTTTTTTTCACCCATTTCAACGTCTTTCTTACATATTTTTTCTAAATAAAAAATATATTCTTCCATATTTTCTTCTAAATAAAAATATACATGAATTACCTGTCACTCACTAACCCATGCCAAATAGCCATACCTCCAAATAAAAGTATAAAAATAATTATTTAAAGTATATTTAAGACAGTAAATTATTTATGGAAATAAATATGTAATAAATTCATTGTTTGATACAAGTTTGATTGAAGACCAGAGCATACTTTTAATAAATAATTACTCACCTATGATAATAATAAGATAATACGGTATATAATATACCGTAATAAGATAATATATAATATAATATAAAAAGCTAATATAATATATAATAATAAGATAATAAGATAATAATTTTTTCCAAAATCCAGCGTTATAATTATTTTATTAATAATTAATAAATTGGTTGTGAGCAGGAGCTGTACAGGCGCCCAGGTTCCTAGGCCAGGGCGGCACCGCTGAGACCTCCGTCGTCAGCGAGGGACTCGTCAAGATCCTGCAGTGTCAGGCTATAGGTGGGTCATGGTATAAGTGAGTCAGCGTGCAGTGTCAGGCTATAAGTGAGTCAGCGTGCATTGTCAGGCTATAGGTGAGTCAGTGTGCAGAGTCAGGCTATAGGTGAGTCATGCTATAGGTGGGTCATGCTATAGGTGGGTCATGCTATAGGTGAGTCATGCTATCGGTGGGTCATGCCATAGGTGAGTCATGCTATAGGTGAGTCATGCTATAGGTGAGTCATGCTATAGGTGGGTCATGCTATAGGTGAGTCATGCTATAGGTGAGTCATGCTATAGGTGGGTCATGCCATAGGTGAGTCATGCTATAGGTGAGTCATGCTATAGGTGGGTCATGCTATAGGTGAGCCATGCTATAGGTGAGTCATGCTATAGGTGGGTCATGCTATTGGTGGGTCATGCTATAGGTGAGTCAGCGTGCAGTGTCAGGCTATAGGTGAGTCAGCGTGCAGTGTCAGGCTATAGGTGAGTCAGCGTGCAGTGTCAGGCTATAATGGAGTCAACGTAATTTATCGTGGCATATTTTTTTATCGTGGCATATATAAATCAAGTCAAGTCAATAAATTTGGCCTAACCTTTTGCTAACCTAAAATGTGTTCATTTCTTGGAGTCGAAACATTTAATGTCGACCTAAAGGTCATATTAACTTTTACCATGTCATTTGTCACATTCAAAGCCATATTTGAACATTTCTCTCGTGAGGTTTCAAGCCATTTATATATTTTACATTGTATATAAGTATATACCTATATATATATTCGTTCGGTAGGATATTGCTTACCCTTAATTTAATTACTATTTTTTTCAGGCTACATATATTATATATTATATGTATATATATTTAATCAGTAGGTTGTTGCATAATCTTAATTATTTTATCCAGGTTACCCTCAGCCGGAGTACCAGTGGTGGAAGGACGGCGTGGCCCTCACTCCGGCCTTCAGCCCTCAACACTTCCATAAAATTTCCGGCGTCACGCGAGACGATGCCGGAGAATACCGGTGCCGGGCCCGCAACCCTGCTGGCACCATCCTGTCACCGCCCGTCAACTTGGAAGTGGCATGTCAGTGACATGTTAATAACTTTACTAACTTAATATAATGAATAAAATAACATTATAAGTAATATAATAAATAATAATACCGGTGCCGGGCCCGCAACCCTGCTGGCACCATCCTGTCACCACCTGTCAACCTGGAAGTGGCATGTCAGTTACATGTTTAATTTACTAACTTATTATAATATAGCATAATAAATAACATAAAATAATAAATAATAACGCAACCCTGCCGGCACCATCCTGTCACCGCCTGTCAACCTGGAAGTGGCGTGTCAGTTGAATGTTAATAAATATACTAACTTAATATAATAAATAATAACTTTATAATATGTATCAATCTAAGTTGATAAGAAAATAGTTCTTATTTTGAGTTGAATGAGGACATTTAGCGCGTTGAGTTGAAAATATTTCTTATACTGGGTTGACGGTGAAATTTTTTTTATTAGTTTGGGTTGGCAGTGAAAAAAATTTCTTAGTTTGGGTTGATGGTGAAAAATAAATGTCTTATATTGGGTTGACAGTGAAAAAAATCTTAGTTTGGGTTAACAGTGAAAAAAAATCCTTGGTTTGGGTTGACAGTGAAAAAAAATTTTTGACCTTGATTCATGCATTGTCTCCAACTTTACACAAGTGTGCAAAATTTCAGATCGATTGGAGAGGTAGAAGTGTGTTAAATATCGATTATAAGATTTGTAGCAGACAGACAACAAGAAGTGAAGTTAAAGAGAAGTGTTGTAATTATTAGGACGTGTTGTGATTCATATTAAAAATCTTCACAATTTTTTTTTACAATAATCCATCTCTCTTTTCACAGACTAACTTTGAATTATTGCTTCAATTTTTCTAATATTTAATTCACTGAAACGTATAAAAATATTCATTAGAACGTGTCAAATTCATCTTAAAAAGATATTTATATTATATAAAAATATATAGAGATGATATTTATAGAATATATCATCTTGATTAATCTTGAAATTAAAAAAAAAAAACATTTTTTTACAATAATCTCTCTCTCTCTTTTCCCTCAGACATGAACACGTCATCATTCCTGTCACCAGGAGACCCACCCTCGTCAGACCCACCCTCGTCAGAACCACCCTCATCAGACCCACCCTCGTCAACAGTTACGGTACTGTCAGGACAGGCAGCAGTGCTGTCACTACCGTCACTAGACACACATCCTCGTCCCTCAGTGACGTGGCTAAGTGACGACCGAGCGTTACTTTATGGCATCAAGTACGCGACTACGGACCCTCTCAACCAGCTCGTCATACTTGATGCTACGCCTAGTGACCAGAAACTGTACAGGTGATGACGTGTATATGACGTGGTCATGTTTAAATGACGTGTACATGTTGGTATTTATTAAGAACATGTTTCAATGACGTGTATTTGACGTGGTCATGTTTAAATGTCGTGTACTTATTGGTACGGACCCTCTCAACCAACTCGTCATCCTTGATGCTACGCCTGGTGACCAGAAACTATACAGGTGATGACGTGTATATGACGTGGTCATGTTTAAATGACGTGTATTTATTGGGAAGATATTCAAATGACGTGTATTTTACGTGGTCATGTTTAAATGACGTGTACTCATTTGTATTTAGTGCGAACATATTCCAATGACGTGTATTTGATGTGTCCATGTTTAAATGACGTGTACTCATTTGTGTTTGATGTGTCTAATATAATAAAATGACGTGTGTTTAATGAAAACACATTCCGATGACGTGTATTTGATGTGACCATGTTTAAATGACGTGTACTCCATTGGTATTTAGTGGGGACATATTCCAATGACGTGTTTTTAATCCGAGTATATTTCAGTGACTTGCACTGAAGTGTATTTAAATCAAGCATATTACAATGATGTGTATTATTTTTACTTATCATGGAGAAATCAAGATTTATATTGATTTACCTTAAGGCAAGTCATCATGAAAAACTTGATAGGTTTGCACGTAACATATCATAGAATAAGTTTGCATTTATCATGCTAAGTTTGAATAAGTTTACATTGTTAGTACTGTTTATCTAGATGCATTCTAGCTAGGCTCATATGCGTCTGTTAAGGAGCTTTCAAGTTTCCCCTAATTAGTTTAATTCCTCTTTAATTCCCCTAGTTGGTTTAATTCCCCTTTAATTCCCCTAATTAGTTTAATTCCTATTTAATTTCCCTAATTAGTTTAATTCCCCTAGTTGGTTTAATTCCCCTAGTTAGTTTAATTCCCCTAACTAGTTTAATTCCCATAGTTAGTTTAATTTCTCTTTAATTCCTCTTTAATTCCCTTAGTTAGTTTAATTCCTCTTTATTTCCCCTAATTAGTTTAATTCCCATTTAATTTCCCCAGTTAAATCAATCATATAGTTGATTCAAGGCCGGATGACTATAAACATTATAGATTAACAACAATCTCGTTAAGTTCAAGTCAATATTTATATAATATTTTAAGTATGTACTTGGGGAACTTCTTACAATGACAGCTACCCCCTGAAATTTTTTCTGTCTGTAGAACCTAAATTTCTTCTTAGGTTCGTTAGAAATATTTTCGGTGAAAGTTTCGTTCCATGAAAGATAAACATTGAAATTTTCAATAATATTATATATTGAATATAATACCGAATAATATTTTATTGTTTGAATGCTCAGCTAGGACAGGCAAGATAAATATTTATTTTGACATGCTGTAAAGCTAAGAATAATTTTCTTAAAATATATAACATCAATAATATTATATTGAATATAATAACGAATAATATTTTATAGTTTGAATGCTTAGCTAAGACAGGCAAGATTAATGTTGTTTTTTGACGTGCGTAAAAGTTAAGAATAATTTTCTTAAAATATATAATATCAATAATATTACATTGAATATAACATCGAATAATGAATAATATTTCATCGTTTGAATGCTCAGCTAGGACAGGCTAGATCAATGTTGGTTTTTGACGTGCTGAAAAGTTACGAATATTTTTGTAATTTACAATTTCAATTACAATAATATTACATTGAATATAATAACGAATATTATTTTATCATTTGAAGGGCTGTGCTGACAAATGCTCAGCTAGGGCAAGAGGTGTCGACTGGGTGGACGAAGGTGGTGGTGATGGGGGGTGATGGTGACGAGGTGGTCCCCCTCACCATCGTCGTCCCCCCCGCCAACCTCACCGTCACCAAGGGCAGCAACATCGCGACGTTGCAGTGCATCGCCAACGCCAGGTGATGTGGTGTTGTAATTGTGATGTTTGATTAATGTTATTATAATTGATGTGATCCATTAATAGAGATGTTAATTAATGTTTAAGGGCAGCAACATCGCAACGTTGCAGTGCATCGCCAACGCCAGGTGATGTGATGCATTAATTGTGATGATAATTAATGTTTAATTAAATGAAACTAAGTGTAAATTAATGTTTAATTCAGTAAAATTGATGTGGTACCTGTAGAGGAGAGCGCTGTACCAGTACATAACTGTACTACTGTACTGTACAGGCCGCTGTACCGCGTAGAGACTGTCTGGTACAAGGACTCGGTACCTGTAGAGGAGAGCGCTGTACCAGTACATAACTGTACTACTGTACTGTACAGGCCGCTGTACCGCGTAGAGACTGTCTGGTACAAGGACTCGGTACCTGTAGAGGAGAGCGCTGTACCAGTACATAACTGTACTACTGTACTGTACAGGCCGCTGTACCGCGTAGAGACTGTCTGGTACAAGGACTCGGTACCTGTAGAGGAGAGCGCTGTACCAGTACATAACTGTACTACTGTACTGTACAGGCCGCTGTACCGCGTAGAGACTGTCTGGTACAAGGACTCGGTACCTGTAGAGGAGAGCGCTGTACCAGTACATAACTGTACTACTGTACTGTACAGGCCGCTGTACCGCGTAGAGACTGTCTGGTACAAGGACTCGGTACCTGTAGAGGAGAGCGCTGTACCAGTACATAACTGTACTACTGTACTGTACAGGCCGCTGTACCGCGTAGAGACTGTCTGGTACAAGGACTCGGTACCTGTAGAGGAGAGCGCTGTACCAGTACATAACTGTACTACTGTACTGTACAGGCCGCTGTACCGCGTAGAGACTGTCTGGTACAAGGACTCGGTACCTGTAGAGGAGAGCGCTGTACCAGTACATAACTGTACTACTGTACTGTACAGGCCGCTGTACCGCGTAGAGACTGTCTGGTACAAGGACTCGGTACCTGTAGAGGAGAGCGCTGTACCAGTACATAACTGTACTACTGTACTGTACAGGCCGCTGTACCGCGTAGAGACTGTCTGGTACAAGGACTCGGTACCTGTAGAGGAGAGCGCTGTACCAGTACATAACTGTACTACTGTACTGTACAGGCCGCTGTACCGCGTAGAGACTGTCTGGTACAAGGACTCGGTACCTGTAGAGGAGAGCGCTGTACCAGTACATAACTGTACTACTGTACTGTACAGGCCGCTGTACCGCGTAGANGGTGATGGTGGTGATGATGTGGTGGTGGTGATGTGGTGGTGGTGATGTGGTGATGGTGGTGATGATGTGGTGGTGGTGATGTGGTGATGGTGGTGATGGTGGTGATGATGTGGTGGTGGTAGTATAAGTATAAAATATATTTATACTTCATGACGTATTCACTTCATTAAAAGAAGTGAGTCATCATTAAAAAGTGAGTCACTATTTTCACAACATGACGTATTCAGTTTAATGAGTGCAGTCTCTCTTCGGGGGACAAGGCACAATCTGAGGGCCGATTGTTGGCGTTGTCCGTCATCATGAGTTTCGAAAATACCTTTTTTTGTTATTTTTTAATGGTTTGTGTGGCGTAGTAGGTACGAGATACTTTAATCGTCATCAATCAATACCTTTCGTACCTTGCCGACAATCACTTAAAGGTTTTACCAACAATCAGTTAAAGGTTTTACCGACGATCAGTTAAAGATTTACCGACAATCAGTTAAAGCTTTTACCGACGATCAGTTAAAGATTTACCGACAATCAGTTAAAGCTTTTACCGACAAACAGTTCAAGGTTTTACCGACAATCAGTTAAAGGTTTACCGACAATCAGTTAAAGCTTTTACCGACAAACAGTTCAAGGTTTTACCGACAATCAGTTAAAGGTTTAACCGACAATCAGTTACAGGTTTTACCGACGATCAGTTAAAGATTTACCGACAATCAGTTAAAGCTTTTACCGACAATCAGTTAAAGGTTTAACCGACAATCAGTTAAAGGTTTTGCTGACAATCAGTTAAAGGTTTTACCGACAATCAGTTTAAGGTTTTGCTGACAATCAGTTAAAGGTTTTGCCGATAATCAGTTAAAGGTTTTGCCGGCAATCAGTTAAAGGTTTTACCGACAATCAGTTAAAGGTTTTACTGACAATCAGTTAAAGGTTTTACCGACAATCAGTTAAAGGTTTTACCGACAATCAGTTTAAGGTTTTGCCGACAATCAGTTAAAGGTTTTGCCGACAATCACTTAAAAAGTCTCTAATGGATCACGTCAAAGGGATCTACAGTAAATTAATTAGGTTAAATTTCATTAATTAAGTTATATTAACCCTTCAGAGACGCCGTCTCTGAAGACCCAGCCCCCCATAGAGACCCTACAGTAAAGCGTTATATTAACCCTACAGAGACCCCGTCTCTGAAGACCCAGCCCCCATTGAGACCCTACAGTAAAGCGTTATATTAACCCTGCAGAGACGCCGTCTCTGAAGACCCAGCCCCCCATAGAGACCCTAGGAGACCTGGGCAAGACCCTGACCCTGCAGTGTCCTGTAGAGGGCTTACCGCACCCCACCGTCACGTGGCTTAGGGATGCCCTGCCTCTGGATACCCAGCCAGGGTCCAGGTATAATATTATATAATGTATATTAATAATATTGCGTAATAGTATCTATATAGTATAATATCTTATTTAATAAAATATAGTATTTAATATATGTAATAGAAAATAGTGGGGTTAATGTTGAGTGACGCTCTGCCTTTGGATACCCAGCCCGGGTCCTGGTATAATGTTATATCCAGTATTGTATATTAATATACGTAGTGTAAGAGTATGTAGTATCATATTTTATAAAATAATATATAGTATATATTGTGGTGGTGTCGAGTTTGAGCGACGTTCTGCCTTAGGATACCCAGCCTGGGTCCAGGTATAATGTTAAATATATATTAATATAGTGCAAGAGTATATAGTAATAATTTACTATATAATAATATATGTAATAGAATATAATGGTGTTGACGTTGAGCGCAGTCTTCCTTAGGATACCCAGCCTGGGTCCAGGTATAACATTATATATTTTATAATAATATAGTGCAAGAGTATATAGTATAATATATTCTATAAAATATATATGTAATATATAATATATATAAAATAATGTGGTGTCGACTTTAAGCGACGCTCTGCCTCTGGATACCCAGCCTGGGTACCCAGGAATAGAATTATATAACATATAATAATATAGTTAATAATATATAGAATGATAATATATGTTTGGTCAAAAATGATGCTGGTTTTATTAAAAACTTCTTTTGAGTTTAATTAAAAAGTGAGTCAAAGAAGAAGTTCCTAATAAAACTGGCATTATTTTTAACCAAACATTTCTAAATGAAGGGCTCTACCCTAAATATACAAATGATAATATAACATATGTATAATATAGTAGTGTCTGATTTATTTAAGCCAAGTACATTAAAATTCTATTAAATTGGTTTTCCATCATTTCCTAACGCACAGATTTTTTCTCAACACAACTTAACACAGCATATTCTCCTGCATTTGAATTTTAATTTTTTTCAGACCTATATAATACCTACCTTTATCGAATTGAATTTTATCTAAATGTACTTAAAATTTGGTTACTATCGAACTATAGGCACATATATTGAACAGAACCGTGTCAAAAAAAAAGGATGATAGTCACTTTCAAAAAAAAAACATTATTTTAACCCAAAAAATGAAAGAACAGAAAATCGAAAAAATTTAACCATGCCAAAAAATCAATGTTCAAATAATTATATAAAATCTAAATTGTTTAATTCACTTTTATCAATTTCAGTGCACAGTTTCAGTAATAATATAAACAATAAAATACTAGCGAAAATAATAACAATAACGCAAAAAATAAAATATGAACAACAATAATAATAGTAATATAATAAATAAAATAACACGACAATAATAATATAAAAAATTAAATAAAACGACAATAATAATAATAATATAAAAATTTATATTAACGACAAAAGCAATAATAATATAAAAAATAAACATTAATAACAGATATCAGCTGCTACGCAACGGCTCGCTGGCTGTAGGCAGCGTGGCTCTCAACGACTCTGCAATGTACCAGTGCCGGGCCAGCAACCCTGCCGGCGAGGTGTCTGCGTATACCTGGCTTAGGGTTAAGAGTGAGTATATTATGTTTATTTTAATTAATTTACAATATATTCTCCCAATACATTCTGACATTCTCACAATATATTCTCCCAATACATTCTGATATTCTCACAATATATTCTCCCAATACATTCTGACATTCTCACAATATATTTGTTACCAGCCTCAGCACCGGTGCTGCTATCCTCATCCGCAATATATTCTCACAATATAGGAATTCTCATCCCAAAATATTTATATTACCAGCGTCAGCGCCGGTGCTGCTAACGCCGCCCGCTAACGTCACAGTAGTGGACGGTGGCAGCGCAACGCTAACTTGCAACGCTGGCGGGTCCCCACACCCTAACATCTCATGGACCCATCCCGAGGGCCATGAAATTATATCGGACGGGGCCCGGTTCCGCGTTAGCTCTGATGGGGCCCTCCACATCACCGAGGTCCGGGCCCGGGACCAGGGACAATACAGCTGTTCCCGGGCCAACAAAGCGGGCCATGTCGCCGCCGATGCCTGGGTCGTTATCCTAGAGAAGACCCATATCGTGACACCGCCCCAGGATACACAGGTATTATTATAGGGTATTATACCTCTTCAAGCAAGGTATTATACCTAGAGATGTATTATACCTCTATCAAGCAAGGTATTATACCTAGAGATGTATTATACCTCTATCAAGCAAGGTATTATACCTCTTATTATACCTCTATCAAGCAAGGTATTATACCTCTTATTATACCTCTATCAAGCAAGGTATTATACCTCTTATTATACCTCTATCAAGGTATTATATTGCGACAATTGCGTACGTCGGTATGACGGCACGCAATTTCTATACTAGGCTGGCTGAGCATAAGGGCAGGAGTTATAGAACAGGGAACCTACTTGCACATCCACCTCATTCTGCTGTGTCTTCTTTATTTATTTCCGTTTTGAAACCTGACAGTGCATTTTACTTTACTAATTGATTTATTTGTGTTTCTAGGACTGAACTTTTTTCTGAACACAATTTTGTGTTATGAACTGGACTCCGAAACGTTTTCTCTTATAAAGATATGGTGAATTTTTGTGGTATTTTCTTTGCTTTTAAATTCCTGGGGATACACAGGTCATCCTGGGACATGTGGCCACTTTGCCATGTGGCGTACGGCATGCCGCGGGGGTGGCGGCCGTGGTGACGTGGCATCACGATGGCGTGGTGGTGGCGGGTGGTGATGTGGGTGCATCACTTAACTCCCGCATCACGATGCTGGGGGACGGATCACTGCAGATACAGGAGGCTAGGGCCGCTGATGTCGGCCTCTATCAGTGTACTGTGAGTCGCACATATCTTACATTAATATTAATATTAAATAAATAAATTTAGCGCTGTGAGATGCCTTGGCACCCTCTTAAATTAATAATATTAAATAAATAAATTTAGCGCTGTGAGATGCCTTGGCACCCTCTTAAATTAATAATATTAAATAAATAAATTTAGCGCTGTGAGTTGTCGCAATCTTTGGCTCTCTTAAAGTAATAATAATATTAAATAAATAAATTTAGCACTGTGAGTCGCCGATATCTTAAGTTAATAATAATATTAAATAAATAAATTTAGCACCTTAAATTGCCGCCCTCTTAAGTTAATAATATAAATTAATAAATTTAGCCCTGTGATTTGCGCTGTAATTGTGAGATTGATATTCACGATTAAGTGTGAGATTAATATTCAGGGGAATATTATTTATTAATAATATTAAATAATAAATTTAGCGCTGTGAGTTGCCGCTCTCTATGGCCCTCTTAAGTTAATAATAATATTAAATAAATAAATTTAGCACTGTGAGTTGCCGCCATATTTTGGCCCTGTTAAATTAATATTAAATAATAAATATAGCACTGTGAGTCGCCACCATCTTTGGTCCTCTTAAATTAATAATAATATTAAATAAATAAATTTAGCACTGTGAGTTGCCGCCATATTTTGGCCCTGTTAAATTAATATTAAATAATAAATATAGCACTGTGAGTCGCCACCATCTTTGGTCCTCTTAAATTAATAATAATATTAAATAAATAAATTTAGCACTGTGAGTTGCCGCCATATTTTGGCCCTGTTAAATTAATATTAAATAATAAATATAGCACTGTGAGTCGCCACCATCTTTGGTCCTCTTAAATTAATAATAATATTAAATAAATAAATTTAGTACTGTGAGTTGCCGCCATCTTTGGCCCTCTGAAATTAATAATAAAATTAAATAAATACATTTAATTAAATCTGGCAATACGCTCTTTGCATGTCGTGTTTTTATTTAAATATGTACTCTGGTTTCTTTTTATCGTGATTCAGTAATCAATAATCAAATTACAAATCAATATTTTGGTAATCAATAATGAAAGATCTGTGTTAGATTTGAGTTTTATGTTTCTTGGTGTTCATAATTTGATAATAAATACTAATAATATCTTTACTGTCGTAGTTTATTAATATGAATGTCAATCAACACCTTAATTATGATTAATGCGTTCAATGGTAATGAAATAAGTTGACGATAAGACCGCGAATCTCGTAAATATTTAGGGTAATCAACGAATTTCAACAGAGACCAAAAATCTCTAAATTTTTTCCAAAAATCTTAAAACCAAAAATCTTTAAATTTTTCCAAAATTCCAAAAACCTTTAAAAACCAAAAATCTTTACATTCTCCAAAAATCTTCAAACCCGAAGTCTTTAAATTTTTTCAATAACCTTTAAACCAAAAATTTTTAAATTTTTCCAAAAATCTTTAAATTTTTCCAAAAATCTTTACATTTTGCCCCATTTAGGTCACCCAAAAGTATTTAAATTTATTCTCCATTTAGGTGACCCAAAAATCTTTAAACCAAAAATCTTTAAATTTTTCAAATAATTTATAAACCGAAAATCTTGACATTTTTCCAAAAATCTCAAAATTTTTCCAAAAATCTTTAAATTTTTCCAAAAATCTTTGCATTTTTCTACATTTAGGTCACCCAAAAGTGTTGAAATTTATTCTCCATTTAGGTGACCCAAAAATTTTTAAACCAAAAATCTTAAAATTTTTCCAAAATCTATAAAACAAAAATCTTGAAATTTTTTCAAAAATCTCAAAAATTTTCCAAAAATCTCAAAAATTTTCCAAAAATCTCGAAATTTCTTCAAAAATCTAAAAATTTTTCCAAAAATCTCAAAATTTTCCAAAAATCTCAAAATTTTTCCAAAAATCTCAAAATTTCTCCAAAAATCTCAAATTTTTCCAAAAATCTCAAAATTTTTCTAAAAATCTCGAAATTTTTCCGAGAAATCTCAAAATTTTTCCAAAAATCTCAAAAAAATGTCCAAAAATCTCAAAATGTTTCCAAAAAACTCAAAATTTTTCCAAAAAATCTCAAAATTTTTCCAAACATCTCAAAATTTTTCCAAAAATCTCAAAATTTTCCCAAAAATCTCAAAATTTTTCCAAAAAATCTCAATTTTTCCAAAATTTTTTACATTATTTTCGATTTAGGTGACGTCAGAAGGAGGTAACGACACGAGCTCGGCGCGGCTGGAGGTGATGGAGCTGCCGTACCCCCCCAGCAGCGTCACCGCCGAGCGCGACCACACGGCGGCCAAAGGCGTCCTGTTGTCCTGGACACCCGCCTTTGACGGCAACAGCCGCCTTACCGGCTACATCCTGCAGCGGCGGGAGGTGCCAGTCACGGGTGAGTGGGGGCCTTTGACGGCAACAGCCGCCTTACCGGCTACATCCTGCAGCGGCGGGAGGTGCCAGTCACGGGTGAGTGGGGGGCCTGTCACGGGTGAGTGGGGGCCTTACCGGCTACATCCTGCAGCGGCGGGAGGTGCCAGTCACGGGTGAGTGGGGACCTGTCACGGGTGAGTGGGGTGCCTGTGAACGTCACGGGTGAACTTCTTTTATTAAAGATCAGCGTTTTTTAACGTATCGAAAGTTCATATCCTATAATTAAAAATTAATTGAAATTCATTGATATCCAGAAGAATATTAATATTAATTAATATCCAGGGGATATTAATGTAATGTTAATTATTATTCAGAGGAATTTCAAGTTGATATTCTATAATCCCTCACCGCAGGAATAACGGCCGCAGCAGCTGACTACGGGCTGAAGTGGTCTACGTTCAGCCGTAACGTGTCGGCGGGCGCGCTCACGGCCGTAGTAACGGACCTGCGACCGTCCACGGGCTACCAGTTCCGCGTGGCAGCCGTCAACCACGTGGGCGAGGGGTCGTTCTCGCCCCCCAGCAACGTCATTGTTCTGCCGCAACAAGGTATTGTTATACCTCTTGATATACCTCTTGATATACCTCTTAATATACCTCTTGATATACCTCAACCACGTGGGCGAGGGGTCGTTCTCGCCCCCCAGCAACGTTATTGTCCTGCCGCAACAAGGTATTATACCTCTTGTTATACCTCTTGTTATACCTCTTGATATACCTCTTAACGTCCTGCCGCAACAAGGTATTATACCTCTTGATATATCTCTTGATATGTGTTTATATACCTTTTGCTTTACCTCTTAACGTCCTGCTTCGACAAGGTATTGCTATACCTCTTAGTGTGAGGGTTAAGGAATTGTATGATAAAAGAATATTTTATTGCAATTAGTGATATGATTGCGATAAAATAACGATTATGTATGATTATGTATGATTATCACGTTCACAATTCAACTGTCGCTGTATTATCTGTTGCTTACAATAATTATAATAAATTATAATTATATAACTATATTATAATATAAATATTATAATTTACTATATCTTACCACTCTCATAATTTTGTTGTAATATTGAAGCAAAGATAATTAGCCACATGACAAAATCTTCTATAATTTACCTATTTAACAATATAAAATAAAATAAACGTTACACAGCGCCCAGTGGTCCCCCCCTGGGGCTGGTGGGGTCCCCACGCTCCCCCTCCGAGCTGATGGTGCAGTGGGAGCCTCCCCTGCAGGAGCACCGCAACGGTGTGGTCCTCGGATATGTGGTCCGCTACCGTCTGGGCGGCTACAAGGACGCGCAGTGGTACTACAGGAACGTCACTAAAGAGGTGCCTTGATGTGTGGTACCTTAGAGGTGCCTTGATGTGCAGTACTAAAGAGGTGTCTTGATGTGTCTTGTCTCAGGTCTATCAACCCAAAGAAAACCTCAAATCCTTGTCATTAAGTTGTACATTAACTGAATGAAACTGGAGCTCTGGAACGCAGAACCTGACCCTTAACCCTTGTGCCTAAACTCTGGGACCCCAAACCCTTGTGACTAAACTCTGGGACTCCGAACCCTTGTGCCTAAACTCTGGGACTCCGAACCCTTGTGCCTAAACTCTGGGACTCCGAACCCTTGTGCCTAAACTCTGTGATCTGAACCCTTGTATGTAAACTCTGGGACCCCGAACCCTTGTGCCTAAACTCTGTGATCTGAACCCTTGTGCCTAACTCTGGGACCCCGAACTCTTGTGCCGAAACTCTGGGACCCCGAACTCTTGTGCCTAAACTCTTGGACCCCGAACCTTGTGCCTAAACTCTGGGACCCCTAACCCTTGTGCCTAAACTCTGGGACCCCGAACCTTTGTGCCTAAACTCTGGGACCCCGAACTCTTGTGCCTAAACTCTGGGACCCCGAATCTTGTGCCTAAACTCTTGGACCCCGAACCTTGTGCCTAAACTCTGGGACCCCTAACCCTTGTGCCTAAACTCTGGGACCCCGAACTCTTGTGCCTAAACTCTGGGACCCCGAACCTTGTGCCTAAACTCTTGGACCCCGAACCTTGTGCCTAAACTCTGGGACCCCTAACCCTTGTGCCTAAACTCTGGGATCCCGAACCCTTGTGCCTAAACTCTGGGACCCGAACCCTTGTGCCGAAACTGGGACCCCGAACCCTTGTGCCCAAACTCTGGGATCTCGAACCCTTGTGCCTAAACTCTTGGACCCCGAACCTTGTGCCTAAATTCCGGGACCCCTAACCCTTGTGCCTAAACTCTTGGACCCCGAACTCTTGTGCCTAAACTCTGGGACCCCGAACCTTGTGCCTAAACTCTGGGACCCCGAACCTTGTGCCTAAACTCTGGTACCCCGAACCTTGTGCCTAAACTCTGGGACCCCGAACCCTTGTGCCTAAACTCTGGGACTCCGAACCCTTGTGCCTAAACTCTGGGACCCCGAACCCTTGTGCCTAAGCTCTGGGACCCCGAACCCTTGTGCCTAAACTTTGGGACCCCGAACCCTTGTGCCTAAACTTTGGGACCGCGAACCCTTGTGCCTAAACTCTGGGACTCCGAACCCTTGTGCCTAAACTCTGGGACCCCAAACCCTTGTGCTTAAACTCTGGGACCCTGAACCCTTGTGTCTGAACTCTGGGACCCCGAACCCTTGTGCCTAAACTTTGGGACCCCGAACCCCACCCTTGTGCCTAAACTCTGGGACCCCGAACCTCGTGCCTAAACTCTGGGACCCCGAACCTTGTGCCTAAACTTTGGGACCCCGAACCCTTGTGCCTAAACTCTGGGATCCCGAACCTTGTGCCTAAACTCTGGGACCCCGAACCTTGTGCCTAAACTCTGGGACCCCCGAACCTTTTGCCTAAACTCTGGGACCCCCGAACCTTGTGCCTAAACACTGGGACCCCGAACTTTTGCGCCTATACCTTAGGACCACCGAAGACATCAAGTTTTCCTGACGTATAAAAACTGAAGATACGAAGATATACGTTTTTCTGGAGTGCTAGAAAATCTTCCACAGCTGCTACTGTTACTACTATAAGTGGGAAGGAAGAAATCTGTTGGTGCATCGTTAGTTGGGGGAGATGGGATACGTAGAATTATGGTTATAAATGTTCTAAAGAGCACAATTTTTCCTTGATCAACAAAATATAGGAATATTTTTCAAAATTTACAACCCAAAGCTCCAGAGGTGTTAAATCAACTGTTATGAAAGTGGTTTAAAAATTATGAAGAGTATTTGGAATGAATTTTCGTTTTGAAGGCATGTTAATAGGTTGTGTAAATATCTGTATCGTATCTTCTTTGAAGATGCCCCCGTGAATTCGTGCAATATATGTTATCATATTATCTTTGTAAAAATTATTTATACAAGTGGAGCATTGTACTATTTGACGTTGCCACGGCTGATTTATTTACATTAAAATGATTTGTTTTATGTACAGACGCAGCACAGCTACCTCATCAGCGGACTTATCACCTGGAAGGACTATGAGGTGCAAGTGGCCGCATACAACATTAAAGGCGTCGGTGTTTACTCCGAAGGTAAAGAATACTTATACTTATATTTTAACTTACTAAGTTATGCTTACAACATTAAAGGCGTCGGGGTTTACTCCGAAACACCGAGGCACTTGTGAAAAACACTTGCACTTATTTTATAACTAATTAACTAATTTAGGCATACAACGTTAAAGGCGTCGGGGTATACTCTGAAGGTAGAAAAAATACTTACACTTATTTTATAACTAAGTAAGGTTCACAACATTAAAGGCGTTAGGGTCTACTCTGAAGGCGATAAAACTTGTACTTATTTCATAACTAATAACTAATTTAGGCTTACAACATTTGAGGCGTTGGGGTTTACTCCGTCGGTGGAATATACTTACACTTATTTTAATAACTAATTAACTAATTTAGGCATACAACATTAAAGGCGTCGGTGTATACTCCGAAAGTGAAAAATACTTACACCTGTATTTTAATTAAATAACTAATTGACTTAGGCTGACAACATTAAAGGCGTTAGCCTCTACTCCAAAAGAAAGCAACAATGCAGCCATCTCCTATGTGATTATAAAGTTTTACAACGGTATCTGAGGCTTCAAGTCGAGCTGTTATCAAATCTACTAATATTTAAATTTAACAATATATATTGTTATCATATTGTTGTCAATAATTTAACAATATGTACTAATATATTGTTATCAAATCTACTACCTAATAATAATCAAATCTACATTTCTACTAATATCGCCATTAGAAGAAATGCTGTTTCTCATATAGACTAAGTCTTAGCTCCAAAAATTGAGTACTATATTAAAGTATTGCATATGAAATTTTGGCCCATTTTACTGTCATGATTTGAATGTTATAAATACAAATACTATGGTTACCTTTGGACAATAGCCCATACATTTGTAAATAATAGACCATAAATTCAAATAAACCATAGTGTCTATGGTTTTATATGTCGTAGTATGTCCTGCTGGAAATATTTGTACAGGTTTGAGAGTAACTTAATGCTGCTGTTTTCGAATAGGATTTTTGGCATTGCGATAGATTATGATGTCAGATTTTATTTTAAATAACTTACCGAAGTTGCCTGTCACACTTTACTGGACAGTATTGTGAAGTGGATAGATTATTTAATAAATTTCATTAATTGAAGTGAATTTCATTGATTCGGTGACAATTAATGTCACCGAATTGTTCTTGTAGCAAAAAAATTGTCTGTAGCAAAAAGATATTTGCTGTATTAAAAAATTGTACTTACCTAAAAGTTGCACACATGTGTCGGCTTAAAAAAAAGTGATTGACAGAATTTGCGTAGCTCATCGAAGAGGAAATCATTAAAAAAAGTACCGGTAATTAATAATAAATGTTGAGTTAGCTTTAAAAAGATTAGTTTGAGAGCAGAATTAGGTATTACCCCTGTAGGTATCCGGCTGAATACGAAGGAGAGAGAGCCTACAGCTGTAATGCCATAATGGCTTTTTGCAATGCCATAATGGCTTTTCGTAATGCCATGTCATTTTCTAATCCCATAATACCATTTTGTAATGCCATAATGGCTTTTTGTAATGCCATTCCTGACATATTCCTCACACCCCCCGCAGGTATCCGTCTGAAGACGAAGGAGAGGGTGCCTATAGCTTTTGTAATGCCATTTTCTAATGCCATAGTGCCTTTCTGTCATGCCATAATGGCTTTTTAATACCATCCCTCACACCCCCCGCAGGTATCCGTCTGAAGACAAAGGAAGGGGTGCCCACAGCTCTTGTAATGCCATATAATGCCATTTTCTAATGCCACAATGGCTTTATTTAATACCATTCCTCACACCCCGCCGCAGGTATCCGTCTGAAGACGAAGGAAGGGGTGCCCACGGCGCCCCCCCGTCAGGTGACGGTAGAGGCCCTGTCTTCCACCGTCGTGGAGGTGACATGGAAGCCTCCAGAGCCCTGGATGATCAACGGCATCAACCAGGGCTACAAAGTCCAGGCCTGGCGCGGTGGGTTATCAACTTGTCAACTTAACATTCATTAACCTAAAATAATTCATATTTACATTCAACTAATCTTAAGTACATTTAAATTACTTTTTATTTATAATTATGAACTTTCAGGGCTACAAAGTCCAGGCCTGGCGCGGTGGGTTCTTATCTTTGTTACCTTACCAATCATTAATCCAGGTTATTTCTTTTTTGTAATTAACTAATCTTAAGTACATTTAAATTATTTGTAATTATTTACTTATTAATCTGAATTACGTCAATTACTTATTATTTGCAATTATTGAATGTGCATTCATCTTAATTATTCTTCAGATAATTGATTAATATATATTACTTCTTATTCCAAATTGATCATTTTTGCGTCGTAATTATCAATTTTGATAATTACGACGATTGATAATGATAATTATTTGAATAATAATGATAATAATTATCATTACGATTGATAATGATAATTATTTGAAGAATAATTTTCTCAATTATTCTACAAATATGGACGACCTGAAAGAGCCACCAGTTGCTCCTCATAAAATCTATTAATTCTTTTACTATATTGAGTTGAAAATAACTGTTGCAAAGCAATATTCATACCTGTGTTATTAATAAAAATTTTTGTATTTTATATTAATATAAATATTGTATGTATATTGTGTTTAACACAATAAAATCTAATAATTCATTTACTATATTGACTTGAAAACAACTGTAGTGATGCAATATTAATATCTATCTTATTAATAAAATTAATTTTATTTTCTATTATTAGTATATTTATTGTGTGTTTACTGTGTTTTAATTAATATAATTATTGTGTGCATATTGTGTTTTATTTATTATCATTACGTGTGTATATTGTGTTTTGATTATTATAATTGCTGTGTGCATACTATGTTTTATTTATTACCATTTATTATGTGTATATTGTGTTTTAATTATTATAATTATTGTATGTGTACTGTGTTTTAATCATTATTGTATGTATATTATGTTTTAATCATTATTGTATGTATATTATATTTTAATCATTATTGTATGTATATTTTGTGTTTAACACAGAGAACCCAGTGCTGGTACCGACTGCACAGCCAGCAACGACCGTGACCGTACCACCGTCACCGTACCAGGACGTACGTGAAGCCGTTAACCTGACCAGGCTCCTCAAGTACAACACGTACCATGTCACGGTACTGTGCTTCACTGCACCGGGGGACGGTAACAGGAGTACACCCATCACCGTCACCACACTTGAAGATGGTGAGTAGTGATGACTCGTGCATTATAGTTCGTAAATCATCACCATTAATGTATTTAAATCAGCGAACCGTTATTTAAGATGGTGAGTAATGATGACTCGTGCATTATAGTTCGTAAATCATCACCCTTAGTATACTTAAATACCGGATCTTTATTGAAGATGGTGTGTAATGATGCTTTATAGGTTGTAAATCATCGCCATTATTGTATTTAAATCAGCGAATCGTTATTGAAGATGGTGAGTAATGATGACTCATACATTATAGTTCGTAAATTATCATTCTTAATATACTTGAATCGCCGGATCGTTATTCGTGTAATATTGTAATCCTTTGATAAACAAATCGCTATTCGTGAGAGTTAAATATCCTTAAATCACCGAATCGTTATTTGTGAGAGTTAAATATCCTTAAATCACCGAATCGTTATTCGTGAGAGTTAAATATCCTTAAACCACCGAATCGTTTTTCGTGGAAATTGAAAATCCTTAAATCACCGAATCGTTATTCGTGAGAGTTAAATATCCTTAAACCACCGAATCGTTTTTCGTGGAAATTGAAAATCCTTAAATCACCGAATCGTTATTCGTGAGAATTGAATATCCTTAAATCACCGAATTGTTATTCGTAAGAATTGAATAGCCTTATATCACCGAATCGTTATTCGTGTAATATTGTAATAGCCTAACTTTTCGTGATCGGCAGGATCTCTCAATTTTAACTCTAATGCACAGAAAATAACTTCCATTTTGTTCGTCGATCTTTAATATTTTTTTCCGATCTATCAATGGGAATTTGCACTGTCCAGCTCCGGGTAGTATTTCAGTAGTATCTGCTGGCCTGTAACTCGTGTATCTGCTGGCCTGTAACTCGTGTATCAGCTGGCCTGTAACTCGTGTATCTGCTGGCCTGTAACTCGTGTATCTGCTGGCCTGTAACTCGTGTATCTGCTGGCCTGTATGGATAATTGTGCTATTGCAGCCTGCAACTCTCAGAGTTTTGCCTGGGTTTATGTGCATTTGAAGCACTTTTCACCTTATCAGTTTGGGCTCCAATAACTATATACCCCCGTAACTTTCCCACAACTACCCCGTAACTATTCAATAACTACCGCGACTCTACCCCGTAACTACCCCCGTAACTACTCCGTAACTATTCCGTATCTATTCCGTAAGTACTCCGTAACTATCCCGTATCTATTCCGTAACTACCCTGTAACTATCCTGTATCTATTCCGTATTCTACCCCGTATCTACCCCGTAGCTACCCCTTAACTACCCCACAACTACCCCGTAACTATCCCGTAATTACCCCGTAACTGCCCCACAACTACGCCGTAACTTTCTCGTAACGGTGCTGGTGGTGACGAAGTGCAAAGCGCCTTCCAAAGCAATAAAAATGGCCTGCACACCAGAACAGTAAGAAGAAGCCAGAATCCGGCGTAAAAAAAGCCAAAAGGTAATTTACGAGGAGAGGAAATAAAAGAAAAAAGCTGAAGAATCACAAGCAAAAGCAATAGCTGAAATAGAAGCGCTAACTACTACCGTGCAGCGGAACGAAGTACAACTCGGTCCACACGATATAAATATTCTCTAAGAAGAAGAAAATTTGGCGAGATTTCTAATTGAGGAATGCACGGAATAATTTCAACACAGATGGACGAAGAAAGCGATTCTTCAACGACATGGCACAGACTGAATCGCTGGACAATCAGCATGATTTACCTGCAAAAAATTGATCAAGTTGATTACGTATATAGGGTCATTCATTTTCAAATCCCACGAATCCTACACTCATTAATTTTTTGCAGGTAAATCATGCTGATTGTCCAGCGATTCAGTCTCTGCCATGTCGTTGAAGAATCGCTTTCTTCGTCCATCTGTGTTGAAATTATTCCGTGCATTCCTCAATTAGAAATCTCGCCAAATTTTCTTCTTCTTAGAGAATATTTAATCGTGTGGACCGAGTTGTACTTCGTTCCGCTGCACGGTAGTAGTTAGCGCTTCTATTTCAGCTATTGCTTTTGCTTGTGATTCTTCAGCTTTTTAGCGCATTTTCTCATTTATGGAAAAAATGCACTGTTGTGCTCGCCATGTCCGTCCGTCCGTCTGTCTGTCTGTCCGTCTGTCCGTCCATCTGTCCGAGACCTCAAGTTTTCGTCGACGAGAAAATGCGCTCTTTGTCACTCACTGCAGTGAGTACTGAGTTATATTTTTTCTTTTATTTCCTCTCCTCGTGAATTACATTTTGGCATTTTTTACGCCGGATTTTGGCTTCTTCTTACTGTTCTGTAGGCCATTTTTATTGCTTTGGAAGGCGCTTTGCACTTCGTCATCACGAGCGACTTATCAGGCAGAGTGGGTATCCTGAATACATGATGAACTGAAAAATGTTCACGAAAATACGATAAAAAATCGTTTATTTTATTTTAAATTTTGAAAATTACTAATTATTTGTGATTTCTCCAACTTTGTTCTGTAATAATCTGTTTTATTTCAATAGGTTTTATCGACTGTCATGAAGAAACAAATGAACGCACAAACATAGTTTTGGGCTCTTAAAATGCACAATTTCTGGGGCGCTTGCCGTAGATGGTACGAAGTACAAAAGTATCCATATATTCGTGTTCAATGATTTCGGAGAAGGGAAGTTAGCAAGCTAACAAGAGCTATAGCCGCTCATAAATGTTCTTAAAGAACAACTGCTGTGACAACTGACAACTTCTGGTTGCAGCTTCGGGTAGTATTTCTCAATACCTCACTAGGCATTTGCACTGTCCAGCTCCGGGCAGTATTTCTCAATACCCTAACAAAATTTAGAGTCGCCCCAGCTTCTGGTAATCCAAATCAGAAGCTGCCGCGACTCTTAATTTTCACTAGGTACCTCCCTTGGTATTTGCACTGTGCAGTGCCTGGTAGTATTTCCCAATGCCTCACTCGGTATTTGCACTGTCCAGCTCTGGGTAGTATTCCTCAACTTGGTATTTGCACTGTGCAGTGCCTGGTCCCCCCAGTAAGCTGCACTTCCCTGAAGTGAGCGACCGCTCGGTGCTGGTTCGCTGGTCACCACCGGACCAGCAGAACGGTATCCTGACAGGATACAGCGTCGCCTACAGGAGGCGCGACATGCCCAGGGAACAACCTCATCTTGTGGCCAACCTCACTGCCGATGTCACGTCATACAGGATCAACAACCTTACCGTGAGTGCCAGGTTACTTATTTCTTGCTAAAGTAGATGTCACATCCTACAGGGTAAATAACCTTACCGTGAGTATCAGGCCACATGTTTCTTGCATCCTACAGGATCAACAACCTTACCGTGAGCGTCAGGGCCCATACTTTCAAAAAAAATTCAAAACTCAGTACTCACTGCAAAACTCAGTACTCACTTTCAAAACTCAGTACTCACTTTCAAAACTCAGTACTCACTGCAATGAGTGACAGAGAGCGCATTTTCTCGTCGACGAATACTTGAGGTCACGGACGGACGGACGGACGGACGGACAGACAGACAGGCAGACCGACAGACGGACATGGCGAGCACAATAGTGCATTTTTTTCCATAAATGAGAAAATGCGCTAAAAAGTATAGAGATCGTAAGTTCATCGGCCAATCATTGACGGCCTTTCAAGCAAAATCCACCAATCATAGACAAGAAAATAGAGCGTAAGTACTTACGTTCACTTAGCGAGTTTTGAAAGTATGGCCCCAGGTTACTTATTTCTTGCTAACTTCGAGAAAAATGTCAAAGATTTAAATTTCTGTTTGCGCTGCGCTCTAAAGAGGTTAATAATATTTTTCACCGTAAGTGTCATGCTACTTGTTTCTTGCTAAATGTAACTTCGAGAAAAATATCAAAGATTTGAATTGCTTTTTTCGCTGCGTCCGAAAGAGGTTGATATTTTCTTGTGGTCATATTGTTATCGGAAAATGATTTTTATTTCAGGCGTTTTCAAAAATTCTTCTACATTAACGATATTTATCACATGCTAACATTAATCGAATAATAATTATATTATAATTGAACTTTAATGTGCCTCCAACTAACACTACTGACCGCCACAAAGTTCATTGAGACAACCTCAATTCTTCATTACAACACTTTTCTAGTGATACTTAACTAGCACTGCTTCACTAGTACTGCTTCACTAGCACTGCTTCACTAGTTCTGCCTCACTAGTACACTGTTTCACTAGTTCTGCCTCACTAGTACACTGTTTCACTAGTTCTGCCTCACTAGTACACTGTTTCACTAGTACACTGCTTCAGGACAATAGTACTCAATACTACACTAGCACCACCTAGCTCATCAGCACCAACTACTAGCTCACGAACACCACCAATACTATACTAGCACCACCTAGCACTAGCACCACCTAGCACTAGCATCACCTAGCACTAGCACCACCTAGCACTAGCACCACCTAGCACTGGTACCACCTAGCACTATAGCACCACCTAGCACTGGTACCACCTAGCANGTATTGATCTCTGGATTGTCCAGGTAACAATAACTGTTTGATTGTTCTGTATTGATCTCTGTATTGATTGTATTAACTGTAGTATTGATCTCTGGATTGTCCAGGTAACAATAACTGTTTGATTGTTCTGTATTGATCTCTGTATTGATTGTATTAACTGTAGTATTGATCTCTGGATTGTCCAGGTAACAATAACTGTTTGATTGTTCTGTATTGATCTCTGTATTGATTGTATTAACTGTAGTATTGATCTCTGGATTGTCCAGGTAACAATAACTGTTTGATTGTTCTGTATTGATCTCTGTATTGATTGTATTAACTGTAGTATTGATCTCTGGATTGTCCAGGTAACAATAACTGTTTGATTGTTCTGTATTGATCTCTGTATTGATTGTATTAACTGTAGTATTGATCTCTGGATTGTCCAGGTAACAATAACTGTTTGATTGTTCTGTATTGATCTCTGTATTGATTGTATTAACTGTAGTATTGATCTCTGGATTGTCCAGGTAACAATAACTCTTTGATTGTTCTGTATTGATCTCTGTAATAATTGTATTAACTGTAGTATTGATCTCTGGATTGTCCAGGTAACAATAACTGTTGTATTATCAGGATTTAATATATAAGATTTGATTTGTTTTGGGTAATAATATTTATAACCTGCTTATATTATCCTTATTTCCCCTGGGGAACAAAATGAATTCTCATGATTAACGTAAGTCCAGGTAACAATAACTACACTGTATTGTCAGTATTTAATAAATAGCATTTGTTCTGGGTAATAATTTTTAGAACCTGCTTCTATATTATCATTATTTTCCCCGTGGAAAAAAAAATTCGTGATTGGTGTAAATACGATTTTTTGTTCTGGATAGGATAAGATTTGATTAGCCAGAACAGCAGGATTTGTTCTGGTTAATAGGTTATTATAACCTGCTTCTATTATCCTTATTCCCTCCTTCAAAAAAAAAAAAATTCCTGAAGTGTGTAAATACGATTTTGTCTCAACAATAATCTTGATATTTTTTAATATAGGAAGAATGCAATTCAAATTCAGATAATTTTTTTGTTCACTTTATATTATTTTCGTGAAGATATCCAAGTTATAATTGTAAATTATATTTTCTAGAATATATCAAAATTATAATCACAAATTATATTATTGTGAATATATCCAAGTTATAATCATAAATTATATATACGTGAATATATCTAAATTATAATCATAAATTATATTTTCTTTGATATATCAAAATTATAATCACAAATTATATTATTGTGAATATATCCAAGTTATAATCATAAATTATATTTTCTAGAATATATCTAGGTTATAATCATAAATTATATTTTCTAGAATATATCTAGGTTATAATCATAAATTATATTTTCGTGAATATATCCAAGTTATAATCATAAATTATATTTTCCTGGATATATCCAAATTATAAATTACATTTTCGTAAAAATACCCAAATTATTATTAATATTTTTCATTCAGGCTCTGAGTTCTCGGTCTTCAACATGGGAGACCGTGCACAACACGTCGGCCCCGTCAGCCACGACGTTCACAGTGCCCGGTCTGGTGCCGTTCACGACGTACCAGCTACGTCTGATAGCCCGTAACGTCGTGGGGGACTCGCCCCCATCTTCACAGTCACCTCAGTTTCAAACCCTGCAAGCCGCCCCCGCCCACCCCCCCTCCAACGTCACCATCAGGGCGGTGTCTGCTACTGAGCTCAGAGTGCGCTGGATTGTGAGTCACAATTATTATTTATTATATTTATTTAAATTAGCTTCTATACTATTGATAAAATATTATTAATAAATCATCAAGTGCGCTGGATTGTGAGTGGAAATTATTATTTATTATAATTGAATATCTATATTTTATTTTATACTACAGGTAAAATAATATTAATAAATAATTGGTAAAGTTAAAATTGAATTTATTATATTTATTTAAATTAGCTTTTATACTATAGATAAAATATTATTATTAAATCATCAAGTGCGATGGTTTGTGAGTTACAATTACATTTATTATCATTAAATGTACTACCTATATATATTATACTATATATAAATTATTAGTATTAAGTCATTGAGTGACCTGGACTGTGAGTTGCAATTACATTATATTATTATTTATTGTATATAATTATATTTTATAATTTATATATATATAATAAATATCTATTACATTTTATATTATTATTATAAATTATGTATTGCTATTAATTATTATACTATAGATAAATTGTGGAGATTAAATCATTGAGTGCACTGGATTGTGAGTTAAAATTAAATTTATTGTTATTAAATAAATTATTTAATTATATATTATACTGTATACAAAATATGGATATTGAATCATTGAGTGCGCTGGAGTGTGAGTTGAAAGTAAATTTATTATAATTAATAAATTATATATTAAATTATAAATAAAATATTAGTAAATCATTGAGTGTGCTGGATTGTGAGTCCAAATTAAACTTATAACTAAATAAATTATATTTTATACCTTAAATAAAATAATAATGTTAAATCATTGACCTATATATATAATGATTATTTATTATTATTTTTACATGTTAATTAATCGCCAATTAAAGAGTAACATTCAATTTGCAATAAGTTTAAATACAATCTTGGTCTCATTATTTAACAGTCTCAAAAACTCTCATAATTGAATAAATTATATTTTATACATGCTCATTAAATCATTGATTAATAAATAGAATGATTATATTTTAATATTTTTTATATAAAATATTCGCCAATTAAAGAGTAACATTCAAATTACAATAAGTTTAAATGCAGTCTTATTTTCATTAAACCTTAAACATAGAATAATGGCAGGAAACTATTTACCTCAAAATGAAGATATTCCTCGAAAGTCAAGTTTATTGACGATATTTTTCTCTTCTAAAATTGAAGAAAGGTGCTTAAATGATGCAATAGATATTTTTATCGGTTTCAGACGTACAATAGATTATTTCTAACTCATTTTCATTTTGTGAACAAACTTATTTAAAAAATTAGTTTATTAGTTAAGTTCGTTCGATATTTTTAGCAGTTATTTGAAAAAGAAAATGATTTTCTTTTGATCTGAGCCCCTCAACCCCACGTACCCTCAACCCCACGTACCCTCACCCCCTCGTACCCTCAACCCCATGTACCCTCAACCTCACGTATCCTCAACCCCACGTACCCTCAACCCCTCGTACCCTCAACCCCACGTACCCTCAACCCCACGTAACCTCAACCCCACGTACCCTCAACCCCACGTATCCTCAACCCCACGTACCCTCAACCCCACGTATCCTCAACCCCACGTACCCTCAACCCCACGTATCCTCAACCCCACGTACCCTCAACCCCACGTATCCTCAACCCCACGTACCCTCACCCCCACGTACCCTCAACCTCACGTACCCTCACGTACCCCACAGCCCCTGCAGCAGTGGGAGTGGTACGGGGCCTCGCAAGGGTACCGCATCCTGTACCGCCCCCTGGGCTGTACCTGCGAGTACCAACACAGCTTCGTGTATGATACCACAGCGAACTCATACAAGCTGGAGGGTCTACACGAGTACACCAAGTACCAGGTGAGGGTCTACACGAGTACACCAAGTACCAGGTGAGGGTCTACACGAGTACACCAAGTACCAGGTGAGGGTCTACACGAGTACACCAAGTACCAGGTGAGGGTCTACACGAGTACACCAAGTACCAGGTGATGTGGTCTACACGAGTACACCAAGTACCAGGTGAGGGTCTACACGAGTACACCAAGTACCAGGTGATGTGGTCTACACGAGTACACCAAGTACCAGGTGAGGGTCTACACGAGTACACCAAGTACCAGGTGATGTGGTCTACACGAGTACACCAAGTACCAGGTGATGTGGTCTACACGAGTACACCAAGTACCAGGTGAGGTTCTGTACAATGTACCAAATATTAGCTAACACTGGTCAATATAATATAATATCATTCATATATCTTGATAATATTCGCAATTATTGTAATAATGTTGAATACCTACAATAAACCTAAATAATAACATTGACGGTAAAATACCATTAATAATAATATTGGCGGTAAAATAACATCAATAATAATATTGACGGTAAAGTACCATCAATAATAATATTGATGGTTAAATACCATAAATACTAGTTATTATTGACAGTAAATAATAAAAATAATATTGATGGTGAAATAACATCAATAAAATTTGTTATTGACTGTGAATAATAACAATAATATTGACGGTAAAAGACCATCAATATTATTATTGACGGTAAATAATAAAATAATATTGATGGTGAAATAACATCAATAAAAATTATTATTGATAGTAAATAATAAAAATAATATTGACTGGGAAATACCATCAATATTATTATTATTGATGGTAAATAGTAAAAATAATATTGATGGTGAAATAACATCAATAAAAATTATTATTGACTATGAATAATAACAATATTATTGACATTAAAATAGCATNGATTATGGACAGTAAATAACAATAATATTAACAGATCACAATGGAGGCCGTGAACGACGTGGGTGCGTCGACCCGCTCTACGGCTGCCGTCGAGCGCACGCGCGAGTCTGGTAATAGTCTCATACTTAATAGTCAACTTTGTAATACTTTTCAATGCTATTAATTAGTTTATATAATTTTAATGCGTTTAAATAATTTTAATACGTTTAAATTATTTTAATGTTTAAAATATTTTAATATGTTTAAATTATTTTAATATGTTTAAATTAGTTTAATACGTTTAAATAGTTTTAATACATTTAATGTGTTTTCAACCGTTTCAATACTTTTAATAACGTTTAAAACGTTTCATTTTAACTATTACATTTTTAGTGTTGTAGCTTCAACAGTTCATACAAATTCTGTCAAATTATGAGGTATTTGAACCTTTTAAAATTGAAAATTCAAACCTTTAAGCAGTAAAAAATCAGGATATTCGATATCCTGGTTATTCTGGAATTTCAAAATCACTTCGCTGCTAAATTTTTATTAACGCGACCAGTGCTACAGCAATGATACTCTTGACTGGAGTAATGTAGTGCTAGGGTAACAGGGGTAAAAATTACCGTAGAATTGAAGCATTTAATTAATGTTTACCACTACACTTAATAGCTATTCGTCATAATTATAACGTCAAGATACTCTTGCGTTTGTCAAACTTTTTAAGGATGTGTTTATCAGGTTACCTTTGTTGGAATTCTTCCGGATTACCCCTCGGGATTACACCTGGGATTACCCCATGGATTTAACTCCCGGGATTATCCCTCGAGATTAACCTCGGGGTTACCCCTCTGGGTTACCCCTCGGGACTACCCTCGAGATTACCCCTCGGGATTACCCCTCGGAATTATCCCTCGAGGTTACCCCTCGGAATTACCTTTCGGAATTACCCCTCGGGGTTTCCCCTCAGGATTACCCCTTGGAATTACCCCTCGAGATTACCCTCCGGTTTACGCCTCGAGATTACCCTTCGTAATTATCCCTCAAAATTACCCCTCGAAACTACCCCTCCAGATTACCCCTCGGGATTACCATTTGTTGGCATAGTTCGTATTTGGTATTCATATATTGAATCCATTTTCTCTGTGAAGAACTATTGTGAATTTCCTGACATTTACTTCATTTCATTCATTTTGTCTATTGCGTATAATAAATTCATTTTCTCTGATACGAATATTCGAATATTTTTACATTTTATTATTAAAATAAATACCTTGAAAAAATTCTTAATACTCTGATTTCATTGTATTGCTAAGATAAATAGAATACTCCTAATAAATCATTCCTTTGTCATATTTAAAATCTTTGGTTGACATCATATTTAAATAGATGAAATAATAAATTCTACCATTATTATTTGTATTTAAAATTCTCGTTGACAGTATCGTTTAAATAAATAGAATTAATAAATCCTTCCTCATTCATTTTCAAAAGTTTGTTGATTTTGTATTTAACTAAATAATAAATTCTGCCTCTATTATTTTTTTAAAGTTTTCTTTGGCATTATTGTTTAAATAAATAGAATTAATGAATCCTTCCTCATCCATTTCTAAAAGCTTTGGTTGACTTCATAAATTCAATTAAATAATACTGTCTGCCTTTATTATTATTTTAAATTCTTCGTTGACATCATTGTTTTTAAAAAATTAATAAATCCTTCCTCTATCACCTTTCGTTTACTTCATATTTAAATAAATAGAATAATATATTCTGCCTCTATTACTTTTATTTAAAATTTTCGTTGACATTACTGTTTATTAAATAAATATAATTATAAAATCCTTCCTCATACATTTTCAATTTTTATTTTTAATTTTAATTAAATAATAAATTCTGTTTTTATTATTTGTTTTTACACTTTTAGTTTACATTATTGTTTATTAAGTTAAATAGAATTATTAAGTCCTTCCTCATTCATTTTTCAGAGGTTTATTTATTTTTATGTTTAATTAAATAATGAATTCTGTCTCTATTACTTTTATTTAAAGTTTTCATTGACATTACTGTTTATAAAATAAATATAATTATAAAATCCTTCCTCATTCATTTTTGAAAGCTTTGCTTATATGTATATTTAATTAAAAAATAAAATATGCTCCTATTATTTTTTTTAATTTTCCTTGACATTATTGTTAAATTAAATAGAATCATAAATCCTCCCTCATTCATTTTTAAATTTTATATTAATAAAATTAAATAATAAATTCTACCTCTATTATTTTTTTTCACAGTTTTCGTTGACATTATTGTACATGTACATAAATATAATTAATGAATCCTTCCTCATTTATTTTTAAACGTTTATTTATTTTTATGTTTAATTCAATAAAAAATTCTGTCTCGATTACTTTTATTTAAAGTTTTCATTGAGATTACTGTTTATTAAATAAATATAATTAATGAATCCTTCCTCATTTATTTTTAAACGTTTATTTATTTTAATTAAATAATAAATTCTGTTTTTATTATTTCTTTTCACACTTTTTATTGACATTATTGTTTATTAAGTTAAATAGAATTATTAAATCCTTCTTCATTAATTTTCAAACATTCATTTTTATTTTCTTTTTGATATTTAACAGTTCCATCGGCGGGCCCGACAAATGTGACGGCGAAGGCGACCTCCTCGACGACGGTGGTGGTGGAGTGGAGCGCTGTGGACCTGCTGCACCAGAACGGCGTCATACAGGGATACAAGGTCATCTATACAGGTCTGTGTACATGTATACAGGTGTGTGAATGTATACAGGTCTGTGTGCTCCACCAGAACGGCGTTATACAGGGATATAAGGTCATCTATACAGGTCTGTGTACATGTATACAGGTGTGTGCTGCACCAGAACGGCGTTATACAGGGATACAAGGTCATCTATACAGGTCTGTGTAAATGTATACAGGACTGTGTAATATATATAGGTGTGTTGTGAATATATACAGGACTGTGTGCTACACCAGAATGGCGTTATACAGGGATACAAGGTCATCTATACAGGTCTGTGTGAATATATACAGGTGTGTGTACAGTATACAGGTGTGTGTACAGTATACAGGTGTGTGTAATATATATACAGGTGTGTGTGATATATACAGGTCTGTGTACTACACCAGAACGGCGTTATACAGGGATATAAGGTCATCTATACAGGTCTGTGTACATCTATACAGGGATATAAGGTCATCTATACAGGTGTGTGTACATGTATACAGGGATACAAGGTCATCTATACAGGTCTGTGGACATCTATACAGGGATATAAGGTCATCTATACAGGTCTGTGTACATCTATGCAGGGATATAAAGTCATCTATACAGGTCTGTGTACATCTATACAGGGATATAAGGTCATCTATACAGGTCTGTGTGAATATATACAGGGATATAAAGTCATCTATACAGGTCTGTGTACATGTATACAGGTGTGTGTACATGTATACGGGGATATAAGGTCATCTATACAGGTCTGTGTACATCTATACAGGGATATAAAGTCATCTATACAGGTCTGTGTACATCTATACAGGGATATAAAGTCATCTATACAGGTCTGTGTACTACACCAGAATGGCGTTATACAGGGATATAAGGTCATCTATACAGCTCTGTGTACATATATACAGGTGTGTGTGAATATATACAGGTCTGTGTACATCTATACAATTGTGTGTGTAAATGTATACTTCTTATATTCAGGTGTGTGTATATGCATACATCTCGTATATAGAGAGGTGTGTGTAAATATTTACATCTCTTGTATACAGGTGTGTGTAAATGTATGCATCTCGTGTTTACAGGTGTGTGTGAATGTATAACATCTCATGTATACAGGTGTGTGTGAATGTATACATCTCGTGTATACAGGTGTGTGTGAATGTATACATCTCGTGTATACAGGTGTGTGTGAATGTATACATCTCGTGTTTACAGGTGTGTGTGAATGTATAACATCTCATGTATACAGGTGTGTGTGAATGTATACATCTCATGTACACAGGTGTGTGTGTAATGTATACATCTCATGTATACAGTATTTCTCATGTATCATGTATTTTTCATACTCTCAGAAAAATAAGTGTGGGACTTTGTTCGATTCCTAGTTACGATGAATTAATTATCCGTGTTTCTTGATTAAATGTGCAATGTATGAAAGAATTTTGTATTCAGAAGACACTTATTTATTAGTAGCCAAATAATAAATATAATAAATGAATAGAATGCCTGGTAGCCGTGAATGAATGTTAAAAGCCAAATAATAAATAAATGATTATAAATAAGATAGATACGTTCTCATTGCCAAAGTTGCACCAAAGTCCCTAGAAAAAAAAAATCTTTGAGAAAAATCACTGAAATCATAAAAATTGTTCAAATCATAAAAAATTGTTGAAAAAATCCTTGATAAAAATCACTGAAATCATAAAAATTGCTGAAAAACTCCTTGATAAAAATCACTGTAATCATAAACATTTCCAAAAAAATACAATCACTAGCTGAAATCATAACAATTTCCGAAAAAATAAAATCACCGAAATCATAAAAATTGCTGAAAAATAAGATCACTGAAATCATAAAGATTGCTGATTTCCGTTTATTCCCGGCTCAGGTGCATAAAAATTGCTGAAAGTTTCCTTTTTTTTCGCTGCGCAGGTGCATAAAAATTGCTAAAAATTTTATTTTTTCCGCGGCGCAGGTGCATAAAAATTGCTGAAATTTTCCTTTTTTTTCGCTGCGCAGGTGCATAAAAATTGCTGAAATTTCCCGTTTTTTTCACGGCTCAGGTGCATAAAAATTGCTGAAATTTTCCTTTTTTTTCGCTGCGTAGCTGCATAAAAATTGCTGAAATTAAAAAATTGCTGAAATCATAGAAATTGCTGAAAATATCCATTATCGTGATAGGCGCAGAGCTGCTGCCGGAGGAGAAGCTGCTGCAGGGCAACGCGACGCTGAAGGCGACGCTGACGCAGCTACGCAAGTACCGCACCTACAGCGTGCAGGTCCTGGCCTATACCAGGCTGGGGGATGGTGCTCCTGCACCTACACCACCTCTTGTGGTCACTACCTTCGATGATGGTGAGTTGTGGTGATGGTGGTGAGCTGTGATGATGGTGAGCTGGGTGCTGGCCTATACCAGGCTGGTCCTGCACCTACACCACCTCTTGTGGTCACTACCTTCGATGATGGTGAGTTGTGTGACGATGGTGAGTTATGATGATGAGATGTATGATGATGAGATGTATGATGATGGCGGTCAACACCTTCGATGATGGTGAGTAGTGTGATGATGGTGAGTAGTGTGATGATGGTGAGTAGTGTGATGATGGTGAGTAGTGTGATGATGGTGAGTAGTGTGATGATGGTGAGTGGTGTGACGATGAGATGTGTGATGTAGGCGGTTAAAACCGTTGATGATGGTGCATTGCGTATATTTATGGAATGTCCTTGTATTGTATACCTATATCGTATATCCATTTTACAGTAGCGCACGTATTTATTCCTGTAGTGTAATATACTTTTTACATCATTCAACAGACATTTCATATTTCTGTATTGAAACATGTTTTTATTGTACCTAACAAACATATTTCTGTACTGAAAATATATATTTTTTTGAACCTGACAGACATATTCCTGTAGTGATAACATATTTTTTATCGAACCTGACAGACATATTTCTGTACTGAAAATATATTTTTTATTGTACCTAACAGACACATTCCTGTACTTCATAATCAGTCTTTCAATTTCTCCCTCATTTTATCCGAAACTTTAACACCCTGTTCACAGTACCAGGCGTACCATCCAGCGTATCATTCCCCGACGTATCGTTCACATACGCCCGTATCATCTGGGACGTCCCAGTAGAACCTAATGGAGAAATAACAGCCTACTCCATCACTTATCACCTCGCTGACGATCCTTCTCACAACCTCACCATCGAACTCGGACCCAGTGACCGCACCTTTAAAGCTGAGAACCTCAAGCCCGAGAGCTATTACATGTTCCTGGCCCGGGCTAGGACCCGGCTAGGATGGGGTAGGGTCCTAAGAGCCCCAGTGTACACGACCAACAACAGACAGTTGCCTACCCCACCCTCTGTGCCCACTGTGTTACATTCCCAGCTCACCAGTGACAGTGTTACGTTCTCGTGGAACCCGGGGCTGGATGGACTCGCTCCCATCAGGTGAAAATATAATTAAAAAATGAATATATCTTTTATGAATGAAATTATCTTTTAGAAAATTAAAATATCTTTTATAAATGAAAAGTGAGTCCCAGCTCACTAGTGACAGTGTTACGTTCTCTTGGAACACTGGACTGGATGGACTCGCTCCCATCAGGTGAAATATAATTAAAAAATGAATATATCTTTTAGAAAATGAAAATATCTTTTAGAAATGAAAAGTGAAAACCACTTTTCATTTGTTTTTTTCACCCGGACTTGATGGACCTTGCTCCTATCAGGTGAAATATAATTTAAAAATGAATATATCTTTTAGAAAATGAAAATATCTTTTAGAAATGAAAAGTGAAAACCACTTTTCATTTGTTATTTTTTTCAGAGATTGATCACGCGTGACACGTCAAAAGTGAATATATGATGAGTGAATGAATGAATGGATGAATGAAAATATGATGGATGAATGAATGAAAAATAGGATGAATATGAATATAAATATGAATGAATATGAATATAAATATGATGAATGAATGAATAGATAAAAATATGGTGAATAAATGAATGAATGCAAAGTGAAAACCAGTTTAATGATTCTGTAGCAAACTGTGGTTAGTGGATATAAAAATTTCTCGATCGTTAGTTGATGTATTACTCTATGGTAATGATTCGGTCACAACTATAATCACAGTTATGATCTGAAGTTTATGATCTGAAGAAACAATAGGTGCTTTAATCTTCTTCATGTTTGAATTTTCATTTATCAGTCTTGAAGAGAATTTTTAATGTTCTTCAGCGCATCATGTTAATAAGACCTGAGAACGATATTTTTGTAGTTCGGCTGCAAGTGACATAAGTTAAAATATTTTATAAAGTGAGATTTTGATGTAATTTCTCACCATCCATTTGATCATATATCATACGCTAATAATTCACGTTCAGTCATTGTTATTAATATGCATATCTGTAACAATTTAAACAAATTTCAAAGGACACCTTACAGGCGCTAATTAACGATCATTTAATTCAGTGCTGCAATAGCATGGGGAAAAATGTCTAACCTGTTCTTCGTAACTGTCCGAAAAAATGTAAACGTCGTAAAAATGTCTAACCTGTTGCCCGCAGTACCTGTAAATGTACCTTTTACAGGTACTACACCGTACAACAAATGTCAGAAGGTGGTGGCACTTGGACAGATATTCCAGAGCAGGTGGAGTATAGTGCCACTAGTTACACGGCACACTCCCTGGCACCCTACACCTCCTACAGGTTAGTGGCACCCTACACCTCCTACAGGTTAGTGGTGGCACCCTACACCTCCTACAGGTTAGTAGTGGCACCCTACACCTCCTACAGGTTAGTAGTGGCACCCTACACCTCCTACAGGTTAGTGGTGGCACCCTACACCTCCTACAGGTTAGTGGTGGCACCCTACACCTCCTACAGGTTAGTGGTGGCACCCTACACCTCCTACAGGTTATTAGACTATATGTACTTATCTCAATTATGTGCTAATGAAATCAAAACCATTTCTATTGTAAGTGGTTATTGGGAAGTAACTTATTCTATGAACACATTTAGCGTGAACTTTATCATCACTTTCTACAAAAATCTACTCTACTATGTAGAAAAGATAAGCTCTATTGTTATTATCATCATCACTTTTTCATTAATTTTTTTACGTTAGTTCATATAAAATACACGCATTTTTATTATTTATAATATATAAAATTTATAAAATTCCATCTTGCTTGTCAAATTCGTGAGTGTTAATGAATTCTCGGCGTCTTGCTTGTCAAATTCGTGAGTATTAACGAATTCTTGTCGTCTTGCTTGTCAGATTCGTGATATTATTTCTGATAAGTTCCATATTGCTTGTCAGATTCGTAAGTGTTAACGAAGTCTCGGCGTCTTGCTTGTCAGATTCGTGGATATTTACGAATTCTCTTCGTCTTGCTTGTCAGATTCGTGATATTATTTCTGATAAGTTCCATATTGCTTGTCAGATTCGTAAGTATTAACGAATATTCGTGTGCAGGTTTCGCCTTCAGTCCACGAACGACATCGGCCCCAGCGGCTGGAGCGCCGTTAGTGAGGAGGTCCGCACGCTGCCCGCTGCGCCTACGTCCCCGCCTCACGACGTTAAGGTTACTATCATTATCTTACTATCATTATCTTACTAGCATTAGGTATATTATTGTCATTATCTTACTATCATTATATTATTGTCATTATCTTAATATCATTATGTTACTATCTTACTGTCATTGTCTTACTGTCATTATCTTACTATCATTATCTTACTAGCATTAGGTATATTATTGTCATTATCTTACTATCATTATATTACTATCTTAATGTCATTGTCTTATTGTCATTATCTTACTATCATTATCTTCATTATCTTACTAGGTATCATTGTCTTATTATCATTATCTTACTGTCATTATCTTAATATCATTATGTTACTATCATTATCTTACTGTCATTATCTTACTGGCATTATATTACTATCATTATTTTACTATCTTACTGTCATTGTCTTATACGGTAATCATTATCTTACTGTCATTATCTTACGATCATTATCTTATTGTCATTATTTTACTGTCGGTATCTTACAAGGTATCATTGTCTTACTGTTATCTTAATATCATTATCTCGCTCTCATTATCTCACTATCTTTATTTACTTTCATTATCTTACTATCATTGTCTTACTGTCATTATCTTTATTATCATTATCTCACTATCATTATATATTATCGTTTTATTCTATCATTATATAATATCGCATCATTATTTATTTTTATTCTTTGAAGATGGTTATCACCGGAACAGTTATGTGGTTGCGTTGTGATTTATTTTGAATTTTTTTCATTTTTATATTCTCATCACTACTTGTTCACTAATCACATTATATTCGTGTGCGTGTTCACTAATCACATGATATTCGTGTGCGTGTTCACTAATCACTTGATATTCGTGCAGGTGTTCACTAATCACTTAATATTCGTTTGGGTGTTCACTAATTACTTTATATTCGTGCGGGTGTTCACTAATCACTTGATGATATTCATGTGGGTGTTCACTAACCACTTTATATTCGTATGCGTGCAGGTAATCCCGATCACGACGGCGAGCGTTCGTGTTGAGTGGTCCCCGGTATTCCCGGACGCGTGGTCCGGGGACCAGCAGACCGCGGGCTACCGGGTCCGGTACCGGCAGCAGCTCACGGACGACACCGGAGGACCGAGCGTCTTCGGACCCCAGCAGAGCAAAGACCTGCCCGACACCCACGCCGCCAGTCTTGTGCTGCAGGACTTACAGGTTTGACGCCTTGTTTTTCAATGTTAATATTAATTATTAATTGATTATTAATGTTAATATTGTTTCAATGTTCAATATTATTCATTGTACCATATAATATTAACCTTATTAAGATAACATTTCTTCCCGTCAGCGTATAACACCTCTTCTCTCATTCTATAACACCCCTCTTCCTTATCACCCCTTTTTCTATGACTCCCCTCATTCTATAACACCCCTCTTCCTTATCACCCCTTTTTCTATGACTCCCCTCATTCTATAACACCCCTCTTCCATATCACCCCTTTTTCTATAACTCCCCTCGTTCTATAACACCCCTCTTCCATATCACCCCGTTTTCTATAACTTCCCTCATTCTATAACACCCCTCTTCCATATCACCCCGTTTTCTATAACTCCCCTCGTTCTATAACACCCCTCTTCCATATCACCCCTTTTTCTATAACTCCGCTCATTCTATAACACTCCTCTTCCATATCACCCCTCGTTCTATAACACCCCTCGATCTATAACACCCCTCTTTTTATAACACCCCGCTTTCTATAACGTAACACCCCTCTTTCTATAACATAACACCCCTCTTTCTATAACATAACACCCCGCTTTCTATAACATAACACCCCTCTTTCTATAACATAACACCCCTCTTNGGTAATTACGCATCACGTGGGAGGTAATTACGCATCACGTGGGAGGTAATTACGCATCACGTGGGAGGTAATTACGCATCACGTGGGAGGTAATTACGCATCACGTGGGAGGTAATTACGCATCACGTGGGAGGTAATTACGCATCACGTGGGAGGTAATTACGCATCACGTGGGAGGTAATTACGCATCACGTGGGAGGTAATTACGCATCACGTGGGAGGTAATTACGCATCACGTGGGAGGTAATTACGCATCACGTGGGAGGTAATTACGCATCACGTGGGAGGTAATTACACATCACGTGGGAGGTAATTACGCATCACGGGGAGGTAATTTCGCATCACGTGGGAGGAAATTACGCATCACGTGTGAGGTAATTACGCATCACGTGGGAGATAATTATCACGTGTGAGGTAATTACGCATCACGTGGGAGGTAATTACGCATCACGTGGGAGGTAATTACGCATCATGTGGGAGGTAATTTCGCGTCACGTGGGAGGTAATTACGCATCATGTGGGAGGTAATTACGCATCACGTGGGAGGTAATTACGCATCATGTGAGAGGTAATTATGCATCACGGGGAGGTAATTTCGCATCACGTGGAAGGTAATTACGCATCACGTGGGAGGTAATTATGCATCACGTGGGAGATAATTATCACGTGTGAGGTAATTACGCCTCACGTGGTAGGTAATTACGCATCACGTGGGAGGTAATTACGCATCACGTGGGAGGTAATTACGCATCACGGGGGAGGTAATTACGCATCACATGTGAGGTAATTATGCATCACGTGGGAGATAATTATCACGTGGGAGGTAATTACGCATCACGTGGGAGGTAATTACGCATCACGTGGAGTTTTTAGTTGAATATTCCTCAAAAATGAATTGCATACACTAAATAATAAACTGCGTATTTCGTTTTTATTTGACTTGAGACGAGTGATGAACTTGTATGTTTTCAACTTATGGATGCGGTTCACTTGAACCGTTGAATACAATATTACACTTGAGACCTTTGTATTCAACAAAAACCACAACTCTAAATTAACTTCTTTAGACCTGTGTTAGTAATTAAAATTAAATAAATTAAATTAAAATGTAATTCGAATTCATTTCTCATATATCAGCCACCGCCCGAAGACGAAGTGAACGGCGAGCTTCTAGGCTACAAAGTTTTCTACCGACCATCCTCTAAACCTGAAGGTCTCGACGAAGTCGAGGTCGTGGGTGCCGACACGACAGCTCACGAACTCTTGTATCTCGACACATACGTCGAGTATGCCATCACGATCTTGTGTTTCAACCCTGCTGGTGATGGACCAAAGTCTGAACCTGTTATCGTGCGCACCATGCCTGATATACCGGGACCTGTAGCGTGGATCAACTTCACTGATATCACCATGAACTCGCTGAGGCTTGTGTGGGGTAAACCTGAAGCTCCTAATGGGGAGATACTGGGTTACCTCGTTACCTACGAAACTGCAGCTGTCGATGAGAGTGAGTATTGTGCGTGTTATTTAATTAAGTTGATTATTGATAAAAATTTGAATCCCAATTAAATTTAAAGATGCAAATTTGGTATAATTTACAAGCCTGAGGGGCAAACCTGAGGCTCCTAATGGGGAAATACTGGGTTACCTTGTCACCTACGAGACTGCAGCTGTCGATGAGAGTGAGTCTTGTGCATTTTATTTAATTATGATAATTATTGATAAAAATTTGCATGGTAAATATATTTAAAGATGCAAATTTGGTATAATTTACATGCCTGAGGCTCCTAATGGGGAAATACTGGGTTACCTCGTCACGACTGTTGATGAGAGTAAGCATTGTTCATTTTATTTAAATATTTTAAATATTGATAAAAATGTGCATCGTAATTGAATTTAAAGATGCAAATTTGGTTTAATTTGCATGCCATGCGTATCTTAATGGGGAGATACTGGGTTACCTCGTCACCTACGAGACCTCAGCTGTTGATGAGAGCGAGTAGTGTGCATTTTATTTGATTAAGTTGATTATTGATACAAATTTGCATCGTAATTAAATTTTTTAAATGCCAAACATTAGTAGAACAATAAATATCATAAATATTGTATGTTGTGCAGCTTTTAGCATGCAAGTTAAGTAGTAAATCAATAAATTTCTTAAATATTGTTACTATTAATATTATATTATATGATAGTATTAGTACATAGTATAGTATTATATATTACAGTATTAAACATTAGTAATGCATAAAATTTCATAAATATTGTTAGTATTAATATTATATCATATTAGAGTATTGTACATTAATAAATATTATAAATATTTTTTTTGATCAGGTTTCAGCAAGCAAGTTAAGCAGAAGGTGGTCGGGGCATATTGTTAGTATTAATATTATATTATATTAGAGTATTATACATTAATAAATATTATAAATATTTTTTTTGATCAGGTTTCAGCAAGCAAGTTAAGCAGAAGGTGGTCGGGAAGCAGTTGCCTGTCGTAGGGCTGGAGGAGGAAGTCACTTATCTCTTCACTGTACGCGCACAAACTATCGGCTTCGGTCCTCAGGTTAATATGATATGATATAGTTACAGTCTTGATATTTGTTTATGAGAGCTATGATTATTATCCTTTGACACAGTTACAGTCTTGATATTTATTTATAATAAGAATAAATATTAACCATTGATACAGTTGCAGTCTTGATATTTGTTTAGAAGAATGTATAAAGTCTTCTTTTCATTTTCTTTCCTTCCTCTCTTATCCTTTGCTTCCTTTCATTTCCCGTCCTTGAATTCATTTCCCTTCCTTCCATTCCCTTACTTTCATTTCCCTTTCTTCCTTTAATTTCCTTCCTTTCTTCCTTTATTTTCCTTCCTTTCATTTCCCTTCCTTCCTTTCATTTCCTTTCATTCCCTTCCTATCATTTCCTTTATTCACTTCCCTTTTATTTATTTTATCCCTACAAAACACAAAGCTAACAACAACCCTCTATTGTCCCCGCATGTCCCGCGTCCCGCAGGTGAGCGCTAACGTGACCACAGGTCCCCAGCCCGGGTCCCCAGCGCGTCCCCGCGACGTGACGCTGTCCCGCACCGTCAGCAGCCTCACCCTCCACTGGAGGAACTCCCACCACGGCGCCCTGCCCCTGCTGGGGTACTACATCGAGGGACGGACTACGGGTGAGTGACTGTAACTTATGACTGTAACTTATGACTGTAACTTATAGCTGTAACTTATAGCTGTTATAACTCCCACCACGGCGCCCTGCCCCTGCTGGGGTACTACATCGAGGGCAGGACTACGGGTGCGTGACTGTAACTTATTACTGTAGTAATTTATAACTGGAACTTTTAAGTGGAACTTATAACTGTTATAACTCCCACCACGGCGCCCTGCCCCTGCTGGGGTACTACATTGAGGGACGGACTACGTGTGAGTGACTGTTAATTATTACTGTAACTTATTACTGTAACTTGTTACTGTTATAACGCCCACCACGGGGCCCTGCCCCTGCTGGGGTACTACATTGAGGGACGGACTACGGGTGCGTAACTGTTAATTATTACTGTAACTTATGGCTGTAACTTATGACTGGAACTTATGACTGGAACTTATGACTGTAACTTATGACTGTAACTTATAACAGTAACTTATAACAGTAACTTATGACTGTAACTTATAACTGTTACTTATGACTGTAACTTATGATTGTAAATTTTAACTGTTACTTATAACTGTAACTTATGACTGTAACTTATAACTGTAACTTATGACTGTAACTTATAGCTGTATTTTATAACTGTATTTTATAACTGTAACTTATAATTGTAACTTATGATCGTAACTTATAACTGTTACTTATAACCGTAACTTATAACTGTAACTAGGTGGGGTGGGGTTACTTATTGGTATAACTTAACTATACGTCATTTGGTCCTCAGAGTACTGTGTGGTCCTTACAGTACCACACAATAATTTGGTGATAAGAAGAACTTTATGTTCATGGTGATTTTGATGGTCGCGCAATTAATAATTTATTGTTAATGGCGAACAACGAACATTAAAAGTGAATTGGATGAGCACGAACACTTGCTGCGTCATTCATGTTCAAACTGTATTTACGAGGCATGTTTTTTAAGTAAGGACTGTTTTGGAATTAAAAAAAGACGTGCAGAGATATCACAATAATTTTATTTTTACATGAAAGCCTGTACCTTAATCTACTTTTCTACATAAATTCCGTGAATTTTGAAGCATTTGTCATAACGTGGCACCAGTTTTTGAATACCCTCCTGATAAAATTCTGCTGCCTAACTTGGAGGTGAAATTCTGCTGAAATTCTGAATTCTGCTGAAATGGAGGTGAAATTCTGCTGAAATTCTGAATTCTGCTGAAATGGAGGTGAAATTCTGCTGAAAAACGCCCGAAATTCTGCCTCCTGATTAGTCAGGCGGCAGAATTTTATCAGGAGGGTATTCAAAAACTGGTGCCACGTTATGACAAGTGCCTCAATATTCACGGAAATTATGTAAAAAAGTAGATTAAGGTACAGGCTTTCATGAAAAAATATAATTATTGCGATATCTTTGCACGTCTTTTTCTAATTATAAAACGGTCTTTACTTGATAAACATGCCTCGTATGTATGATAAGTTCATGTGTATACATTCTCCTTTAATGTATTACTGAACACGCGCTATTAGGGCTTCTTGCACGTGAGAAGTGAAATGTAAAAAAAAAAACGTTTTCTTTGGATGTGCGCAATTAGAAAATTTCGCTGTCACGTACTGCACTTAGCGTTAAGGAATATTATGAAATTTCATGCCAGTCGCAAAATTCAATGAAAAAAAATACTTTTTTTCACTAATTTCATACTGATGCACCACATGAAAAAATGTCCGTATTTATTTTCAATTTTAATTCTTCTTCGATCTATATATGTACATATGTGATTTTTTTTCATTCGATTAGCTATTATTAGGTTTTCAATTTTCCATTTCACTGTTTTTATATTATTTGAGAATTTTTTTATTTAAGCATTTAATTTTTAGTGAAGAATGATCATTTTTCAGGTTCTTTTACATGCTTGAATCTTTTTAGACCAAATTTGCTCTTCCTTATGCATGTTTTAAGAGGCAATTTGCTTTCATTAGTAAGGCAATTTATTTAAAACTTGATTGATTATAATTTATTCAGTGTAAAATTATCACCATTTGTTGCACGTAGCGGCATTTTCATGTTAGATGCACATTATTATTCATACTCACAATTTCTTCTTACTTGGTCAACATTTTCTTTATTCAGTTTACATCATCTGGGTATCGTTCTTCCTAAGTTGCACTTTAATTTATATTATCCATCTCCACCGATTATTCATTATCGTTGGTTTTCATTTCTCATTAATCTGCTAGTGTAATGTTCAATATTACGGTGAAAAAACGGTCAGACCGGCGTTCTTGAGACCTACTGCCCCGTAAAAATGAACCGATTTGCCGTTTTTTTTTCAAATGTGGTACGGATTTTGTGTGTCAACCCTCTACTGCCTGACATGAGTAAACGGAGCAATATTAGTAGTATATTAATATTACTAATATAATATAATAACATTAGTATTATTAATAATATTATTATATTAATAACCTGAGCAATATTGTCACAAGCCTACTTCCCAAAAAGAATACGTTCTAGTGAGCGCAAAATGACGTACGACCGCCGCGTACAACTTTAAAATGTTCTCTGTTACGTACGTACAAACGTCCTCAGGTTGCTACACTCAATAGTTTACGTATAATTTGAGTTGAAAGTTATGTTCCCTTAGAGTGACATACGGCGGGAGAACGTTAAATTGGAAAAAACGGCGACATGGCGTTTTTTTCAGGGGGCCGGCTACCGAAATGCCGGTCACACCGTTTTACGGCGTTCTATTGAACAGTGTTGATACTTTCTTCCTACTGATCTATTTCTCCTTTCATTCGTTATATGAAATTATAACTAAGTGTACCCTTTTCTGAATATTTCTCGAGTTTACGAGCTTCTTTTTACCTGATTGCACTCAAATGTGATGACCGGACGACTGAACTGAGCTTGTTACTCCCACAGCCACACAGCTCTCCTTGCACTACTTCAGTGAGTACTGCACATTCCTGTTGCACGGTGTACATTCTTGTTGCACGGTGTACAGTCCTGTTGCACGGTGTACATTTCTGTTGCACGGTGTACATTACTGTAGCCCGTACAGTCCTGTTGCCCGTACATTGCTGTTTTGAAATGCGTTTCCTTTCACGCTTTGTTGCCGTCGTCTATTGACATTGATATTTAATTTATTGCTATATAACTCGTGTGCCTTTTTTGCTTTAGTGTCCGAACTTCGTTGAGTGGCTTTCTTTAACACGAGTATCGCTTAAAGCGCGTTAATGCGTGTTACATTGTATGTGAGTGTCATTCTGTATCGCATCTTGGTCATGCTTGTTTGTAGGTCAGTAAATGTCTTCTTACAGTCCTGTTGCACGTTTATAGTGACGTGTTATTTTATAGTGAGTTTTTTACAACTCACTATAAAATATTCGGCGAGTATTGACATTTTTTCAGCTTGATGGTAACTTAATTTTTTTTTTTTTGTGTGAGGATGACACGTTCTAAATACGCTTGTTTTGATAGTACCTACTTGAATTTGCATTGCCATTTGTTTGAACGTGGTTTTCATAAATATTTTTTTAATAATGTCTCATCAAAGTTAAATTTTACGGAATAATTATCACATATGATAACGGTACTTACCAGTTCTGCTTGTCATCCTTGCAAACACATTATTTCTACATCTAATGCGAAACCTGCTTATGGTTAAAACATTAACTGCACTTAAATGACTTATTTTCCTCTTGGAATTTTTTTTCTTAGAACCTTCGTCAGTTTTGTCTTTTGCTAACACAAACCTGTGCAGAAAAATGTGTAATAGGTGTTAAAACCTATCGACGTGTTTTCCAAAAACCTTCGTTACGTGAATGTGTGTTGGTTTATACCATAAAATAGACCGTCCCAGTCCTAAATATTTATGCTCGAAGTAAGATTTTCCAGTGTTGAACCGGATTTTACTATATGGGTTGCATCCTTTCAGAAATCCTTGTAAAGTTGAATTCTGTTATTGATATGGTTATTATTTTTAAGTAACTTCTTTGAATTCATTAATAATAAAAACTGCAATAACGGTCTTAGTTTACTTACGGTACTACCAATTTTGTTCTGCCTTATAGTCGTACAGTATTGGAGAAGGAATTTAGTCCAATATTTTTTTTTACCAACTTGAAGTGAGAGGTGCGGATGAGGTCCATTTTACCCTCACTTGTTACCCTCAGATTCTATGAAGTGGGAGGTGCTGATGAGGTCCACTTTACCCTCATTTTTTACCCTCAGATTCCCTGAAGTGGGAGGTGCCAATGAGGTCCATTTTACCCTCAGATTCTCTGAAGTGGGAGGACTACCAGATCGTAACACCCAGCAAGGTGTACCTGGAGACGGGGTACCTGCAAGCAGCGCCGTTCTACCACCAGACGTGGTTCATGGTCACGCTCGCCGCCATCAGCATCGTCCTTATTATCATCGTCATCGCTGCACTCTGCGTCAAGAGCAAGACCTATAAGTACAAACGTGAGTCATCAAATTAATAATTAGTCATGAAATTAAAACTGAGTCATGAAGTTAAAACGTGAGTCGTGAGGTTAAAACTGAGTTATGAGAGGCGGCGATCCATCGTGGCCTGGGACTGCTACGTCCGAAACAAATACCAAGGATAGCAAGCATGAAATTAAAACTGAGTCATGAAATTAAAACTGAGTCATAAAGTTATAACTTAGTCATAAAGTTAAAAGTGAGTCGTGAAGTTAAAACTGAGTCATGAAATTGAAACTGAGTCATGAAAAAAATGGTCAATGAGAAGTTGGCCATTTTCAAGGAGGATGAATAAAATAAACAAATAAATGCAACAAATATGAGCTTGATTGCATTTCATACGAGTTGCAACAGTATTTCTTGTTGAAACATGAGGTGTAATGTATGAATATTAATTTGACGCGAATTTATTATAAGAAAATGTATTCCTCATAAGTTTCTACATGAGGCAGGTGAGTTTTGATAATTTTATTTATTTATAATATACTAAACATAAGCAAAATCCGAATGCCGTGTGAGTAAATAGGACGCGGAAGCTTGTGGTCAGATTCCTTAACCGTAGCTGTTTTTTTAATATTATTTCTGCTATAAAATTTAGCAAGAGGGAATCGATTTCCCCTACAAAGTTTGAATAGAAAATGGTTCAATTTATTTAATTTTTCTATTTGAGAAAATCCACACAAAAATTATTTTTCTCATTTGCCGGAATGTTCAATGTTACACATTACACAAAAATTACACAGTTGCTATTTCCAGTTTCACTTCTCAACAATATATTACATTTCCTCTTCACCTAACATATCTGTATAAATAATCGATAAGTTCGGTCTCATTCCAAGTATTGTTATTGCGTTTTGGTTATAAATCATCAATTTTTACGATAGAACCGCAATATCATTCACGATGATTAATGATTATCAATGAATAATGAACATCGGATTGTTATCGTTTATTACTTGAAATTAATTGAGTTGAATACTCACTCGGCTGTTCATGAATACCCTGATGTAGTGCGCTATCAAGAGTAACGTGTTGAATAAATGCTGAATATTATTTATCAAACGGCAAAACTTTTTCAAAATTTGAACATGAGTGAAACTGCAAAACTGTTCCAATATTTGCATATGAGCGAAACAGCGAAACGGTTCCTAAAATTGAATGAATAACAGGGAAACAGCAAAACTTTTCCTAAAATTGAATATGAGCGAAACTGCGAAACTTTTTATCTAAATCTGAAAATATCGGCGAAACAGCGAATGTTCCTAACTTTGAAAATGAGCGAGTTCACGCAAACCACAAATTGAATTGATGAATGGAAAATGTTTTCCATTAGTGTACACGATTGTTCTTTTATACGTTAAAATCGAGATCTGTCTTGATGGAAATATTTTGTGACCTTATTTTTGTTGACCTAAGTTATCGATTATGCTTGTACTTTACTAACCCTCTTAAATATCTATATCTCTATTTTCCCTCATTTTTTTCTCTTTCATCTAATCTCATTTTTTATATTTATTACACATTAGTCAACTCGAGCTTTCCTCTGTAACAAATTTTCAATATCGATTATTTATTTTCATTTTGTTGTATGTTAATTAACACTCGGTTGTTTACCGCACTTGCCAGGTGTCGTCGAGGAGCTCTTGGCTCGTGAGTTTTCTACATTTCTGTTGCTGATTTGTTCGCTGCCTTATTTATGACCCGCTTTATTCCGTCACTTTCCTCCCTTAACAAAATTTAGAGTCGCTCCAGCTTCTGGTAATCCAAATCAGAAGCTGCCGCGTCTATAAATTTTCACTGGGTCCAGTTTTCTCATTTTGCTTCACTGTTTGATTGTTTGTTTTTTGAGTTTTACATTATCAGCGCTGCTTTAAACTCCACTGACGTCTTTCCTTCCAAGTTTTTTAAACTTTATTTAATTTTGAAAATTTTCGGCGATTTTGTAATAATTATTGTACATAGTGAGTGTAATCACTAACGCTCGACAAGTCTCTCTGATTTTTAATTATTAAGAAGAAATTTAATATTAAAGCTGAATAGGATCTATGAAAAAATGAAAAATTATGTCGCGACACGTATAAATTTCAAATTTGGCGGATTTGTTTGAATTTGGCCATATTTTTAAATTTCATTCTAACGTACACCGTGCCTGATCGTGTAAATACTTTGCTTTCTTTAACTCAAGTATCTTACTCTGGTGATAATTACTTTCTCTTACTTACGCCTTGCATGAGCTGTGATAAAGGTACTTTCAATCACTTAAAAGTTGGTTTTAATCGCAAATAAACCACGCAAAAACAAAAGGAAATGCCAAGTAAATTCACCATAATTCACTTAAAATGTGGAAGACATTCGTGTGAATTTATTTACCATTTTCTAAAAGATATTATCAAAAATTATCCGATAATACTGATCATTTTAATATATTTTTTAATAAATTGGTCTTAATTGGCATCTCTACTTGAAGATTTTACTTGTATAATTTTACTAGCTTACTTCTAAAATATGAGGGCCATGTGGTTCTTCTCTTTAGTTACATTCCTCCTACTTCCTTTAGTGCGCGTCTCCTCACTTATGGTTTTTGCCTTTACCCTCCGCCTACCGCTTACCTTCTTAATTAATAAAACCTGTTATCATTTTTGTGGCGAATTTATGATGATTTCATTATTATTCTAGCGCGTTACTACAGTCGTTCAACTTCGGGGAAGTTTACGTTCAAATTCATGCTTGTTGCGATTGTGATTTTCTAGCATTATTTTTATATTATTTCCACAGATTAGCGTGTGAAGACAATATCTTCCTATCATTGCACTCTCGAGTTGAGATACTATCGATCAGATCACGATTGTTAGCAAGTTATTCGTAGAACAAAAAGATACACTATTTACATGCAGTAATCTGTATATCTATTAAATTCAATTAAGAGTTGAATAAAATATTATTTTAAAATTATATTATAAAATGTCAAGTAAACATTTTATATGATTAATGAACAATAAACACTCCATAGATTAATATAATTGATCATTCTGATAATAATAGCATTCTCATAAGTTTTCATATTTTGCCGTATTCCGGAAGAGGCAGTTGATCATTCTGATAATAATAGCATTCTCATAAGTTTTCATATTTTGCCGTATTCCAGAAGAGGCAGTTGATCATTCTGATAATAATAGCATTCTCATAAGTTTTCATATTCTGTCGTATTTCAGAAGAGGCACAAAACAAATCCTTGGAAGAATCCATGGGCTGCGACGACACAAACTTCTCGACATTCGAGCTCCGCCCCACGGTCGCCCTGGCGACCGTGGGCCACACCGGCACCATCGGCAAGCGCTCGACCATGCCGCGCAGCACTCTCAACCGCAGCACACTCGGCAGTAATTCATGTTTCTTTTACATTTTACTATCTTTAAATTGCAATTTTTTACTAGTATTTAGAGTGAAAAATATGAAAATATTGGTACAATTATCACAAAATTGTGTGTTATATCGTAGCTTGGCGCGCCTCACAATCGGCAGTAATTAATGATTCTTTTACATTCTAATATCTTTTAATTGTACATTTTTGCTAGTATATAGAGCGAAAAGTATGAAAATATTTGTACAATTACCACTTTGTTGTGTGCTATATTGTAGCTTGTCGCGCCGCACCCTCAGCAGTAAATGATGTTTCTTTCTCATGTTACTGTCTTTGAATTACAATTTGTTGCCAAATTGCAGGGTAAAAAGTGGGAAAATATTGCTACAATTATTACTTTGGGTTATGCGTAATATTGTAGCTTGGTACTTGAGAGAAATTTTCTGATATGCGTCCATGCTCCTATTGATTTGCCAGTGTCAGTGCGAATGTCGTCCGAAAATTTTACAGAGAAAAAGCGCACAATTATATTTTTTAAAGGAAACCTCTGCTGTAACTATCAGCTGCTGCTTAGTCGATGAGTCATCTACCTAATTTTAACTTTAAGAATATTTTCTTTTCTTCATTTGTTCTTCCGTCAATGACACATCAGTCGCCAATTAGCTAATACTGCACATAGCTCGTCAACGAAAACTCATGTTACCTTTGCAATTTGCAGGGTTCGATTGCCACACAATAACTAATGAGCGGTTTCGATTTCGCTAGAAAAGTGTGATTCATTCTTACTGTAAAATATATCACGTCTATTGAAGGCTGGCGACATAAGCACTGTTGCCACTCTAGTGTCATCGACGTTAGTTATTCGAGTTATTCGCACCTAACAACTTGACACTAAACTCTTGCCATAACTACGTAAGTCACAGCACCAGCAGCCGGCGCACAGGACCTCTAAGTATCGCTGGTCTCTCTGGCGCTGTGGCCAAAGGGACCTATAGTGTCTTTAAGGTTAATTATTCGCACCTAATATCTTGAAACTAAACTGGTGCCATAACTACATAGGTCGGAGCACCAGCAGCCGGCGCACAGGACCTCTAAGTATCGCTGGTCTCTCTGGCGCTGTGGCCAAAGGGACCTATAGTGTCTTTAAGGATAATTATTCGCACCTAACATCTTGACACTAAACTGTTGCCATAACTACGTAGGTCGCAGCACCAGCAGCCGGCGCACCGGACCTCTAAGTATCGCTGGTCCCTCTGGCGTGGTGGCGGCGGTGGCAAGTAAGCTACCGCCACGTCCCGCCCCCGCGTCCCTCGCTTACTCCGACGACGAGACGCTCAAGAGCGGCGGTGCCGCCACCGATTCCAGTGACGTCACTGAGAAGCCCTCCGACATCTCCTCCAGTGACTCGCATGTTCGTGATGTTATAATTAGTTTTATTATACCGTCAACTGGGGTGACTTCGGCCGCGTTTTTTATTTTGTTTTGCAAACAAAAGCGGGGTCATAAACGATGGCCAAAGTCACTCCGGCGTTTATGACCTCGTTTACGATCCTGGCGTTTATGACCCCGGCGTTTACGACCACGCTTTTGTTTGCAAAACAGAATAAAAAACGCGGCCGAATTCACCCTTGCGGCCGAAGTCACCCCAGTTGACGGCACTTTAAATGTTATGTTACATTTCCAACTCTGCATGTCTTTTGGCCGAGAAACCTTCCGCCATTTCCTCCAGTGACTCGCATGTTCGTCATATTTTGATTGTCTCAAAATTGAGTTGAACTTTCGCCCCTGTGTGGGTCACCTTGTCCCACCAGAGTGGTCTGGAAAAATGACTCATCATTGTTGCGTGCGGGAAGTGTGTCACTATTTGGACAATGTGACCCGTTTATTGTACTGGGTGCACGAGTCTGACCTCTACCTGTTACAAAGCTTTTTAGCGTATTCTCTCATTTATGGAAAAAAGGCGCTATTGTGCTCGTCATGTCCGTCCGTCCTTCTGTCTGTCTGTCCGTCTGTCTGTCCGTGACTTCACGGACGGACGAGAAAATGCGCTCTCTGTCACTCACTGCAGTGAGTACTGATCTACATTTTCTAAGTATTGTTAAAAAAAATGTATTTATGTATTTTATGTTGAACTTCTATGTAACTTTCAATACTTATTATTTGCTTTGCAGGAGTCTGAACTGAGTGAAGTTGAGAGCGAACATCATTTTTTAGCGCATTTTCTTATTTATTGAAAAAATGCGCTATTGTGCTGGTCATGTCCGTCCGTCCGTCTGTCTATCCGTCTGTCTATCCGTCTGTCTGTCCGTCTGTCTGTCTGTCTGTCTGTCTGTCTGTCTGTCTGTCTGTCTGTCTGTGAGTCTGTCTGTCCGTCTGTCTGTATGTCCGTCCGTGACTTCACGTTTTCGTCGACGAGAAAATTCGCTCTCTGTCACTCACTGCAGTGACTTATTTTTTTTTTTTTTATACAGAGTTATATTTTTTTACAATTCCTCACATTGCAGGAGTCAGAGCTGAGTGAAGTTGAGAGCGAACATCATTTTTTAGCGCATTTTCTTATTTATAGAAAAAAAGGCGCTATTGTTCTCGTCATTTCCGTCCGTCCGTCCGTGACTTCACGTTTTCGTCGACGAGAAAATGCGCTCTCTCTCACTCACTGCAGTTAGTACTGAGTTATATTTCTTAACAATTCCTCACATTGCAGGAGTCAGAACTGAGTGAAGTTGAGAGCGAACATCACTTTTTCTTAACAATTCCTCACATTGCAGGAGTCAGAACTGAGTGAAGTNTATATTAATAACAATGTATTAATTAAGGAGCCTTTCTTTGAGGCATTGGTCAAATTGTCATGAATAACATGGCTGGGTCTAGGGCGCCTTTGCCTGGCTTCAGCTCCTTTGTGTGAATTGGCATAAGATATTATTTTATGCCAATGTAAGTTAATATATTAATAACAATGTATTAATTAAGGAGCCTTTCTTTGAGGCATTGGTCAAATTGTCATGAATAACATGGCTGGGTCTAGGGCTCCTTTGCCTGGCTTCAGCTCATTTGTGTGAATTGGCATAAGATATTATTTTATGCCAATGTAAGTTAATATATTAAGAACAATATATTAATAACGCTTAGGAGCCTTTCCTGTGACGCATTAATGACAGTGCTCGATGAAAATTCTGAAGAAAAGTAGGTAATTTACAAGAAAATGCAAAAACGTTTGAGCTTTTTTGGAAAAAAACTATTGGGGAAAAACCAGTGGCTACAGGGAAAAAACCATTGCTTTTTCCAGCATGGGAAAAAACAATGGCTACTCGCTGCTCAATCCAAGACCTGAACAAAACTATTATTAAGTTCTGTTCTTCTGTCGCTAGTGACGGTTGTGACTTTCAGTTGAACTTCATAATTGCTTGTGAATATTGACGACTCGAATTGCTGGAATGAGTCAATCGAATTCGAACATTTCTTCTATTTTGTAAATTGCATTTAACATGTTCATTTCTTACTTTGATTTGGTTTATTTTCAACCCAAACTTGAACGCTTGTTAACTGTTTCATAAATTTTATTCAACTCTCAAAGTTGCCTTCAACTCTCGAATTTGCCTTCAACTCTCAAAGTTGCCTTCAACTCTCAAAGTTGACTTAAACTCTCAAAGTTGCCTTCAACTCTCAAAGTTGCCTTCAACTCTCAAAGTTGCCTTCAACTCTTAAAAAAAAGTTGCTTTTGGAAAAGTTCTAATAGATATTTTGCCGCTAAATGTGAAGCCTGTTATGGCCTTTATGCGTACCAACGATCTTGCCCATCTTTCCCAGTGCCTCTTCAGTGAACATATCAACGTATAAATTAGTTAATTTTTAGCTTGTGACTATGTACATAAATGTCAGTGATATTTGACATTCTTAAGTGAAGTTTAAAATCGGGGACTGCGGTACCCAGAGACATTGAATGCGTCTACGGACATCATTCGTAGGTTTACTATTGAGGTTTACTATATTTACTCAAGTTTGCATCAACTTGAGTAAATGTGTTAACTTGACTTTGCTCATGCGTGTTAATCTTTTATTTGCGATTGTGTTGAAACAATGCATCAAAACTGAAATTTTCGTTCCGATTAGACGAAATTTTTTGTGTGGTTCATGAGTTGTCTGAAATACGTACTTTTATTGATTTTTCCACAACGTTGAGGTCATTTTTTTCTAATATTTATGATTTCAACTTCTACAACTTAAATTTTGTTTTTGCTCCCCCGCCGTGGAATATGCTTGTGTATTTGGGTTCATTTGAATTATTTTTCGACCATGAGTAATTATGTTGATTTCGTAAGACCCATTTAAATTTTTAAGCATGACTATTCTACTGATAATTGTATTCTTTTTTGATGGGACACTTTCCTATTTATTAACTACTATGAATAACAATTTTATACGGTGATCTATACATTTAAATTTAACTTTCTATATTTTAAGCTTGTGGGGGTTTGACTTGTGCCTACTGACTCGATTTTATTATATATTAATTTGTCGCTTTTTCATTCTCACGGTTTTTTAAGTTGTTTTTATCTTAATGTAGTAATGCCGTTATTTTTTCCTGATTTACTATACTAGCAGGATTATACTTCATTGGAAAGTGTATGGATAATATCAAATGTACATTAATTCCACCACTACCTGCGCTACCTTGGCTCCAAGCGCTACTAATTGAAATAATTTTGTTCACAGTTATTCTCATAGGTGCTCTACTTCTATATATTGCTTATTTTAGTGCATTCCTCATCACATGTTACTTATTTCCCAGTTTGAATGAATTGTGTTTAGTTTTTAGCTGCTCTTTTATAATCATTCATCTTCGTTTCATTTAAAATCCCGGATTTTCTCATCGATATACCCTCGTAATAACGTAGAAGATAGTAATCAAAAATCGTTAAATTGCAAGTGAAGTTTTATAAAGTCAGAACATATTTGCATTATCTCGATGATTTTTTACAAAATTGCTACGCTTTGCTAAGTGAACATTTTTATATCTGACGTACTTGAAATCTTGTTGAACTCGGTAAACTCAACCCGCGTTGTCAACGTAACCATGATTGACTCTTCCATCGCCTTATGTGTTCATATGTATAGATTTATGTTGATAGTTGTATTTGTATGTCGATAGTTATAGATGTTATTTAAATCCATATGACTGGCACTGATACTGGGTTATGCTGTAGGAATAGCTACATATGATGATTCTGAATCAACATAAATAATTTATAGACCAAGGAAAAAACTTCGGATAAACCTGGTTGATGAAAAAAAAAACATTTTTTCAAACATGTGTTATGACTTGCTCTGTGGAGAAAAATTGAAAGATTTTTCATAGATTGCGTTATGTTGCTTTTCATGGTTAGTGCCTTCATAATAAGTTAAGAATAAAATAAGGAAATAAATTGTCCTTTGCACCGTAGTTTGTTCTGTGATATGTACAGTTGGTATCTCTTTGCTGATAGTGCAAATAAAACCGTAATGATTAAGTTGTACGTGGCATTTAGTTTGACATGAAACAAAACTCTGTCTGATGTAACTTTTTATTCTGGTGACGCGTTCGTTAGTTCGCTTTTGTAGCTCTTATTTAATGACTGTAACTCCTTTGTCTCCCAGTCGCCTGTCGCTTTTTAATCCCTTATCATTTTTTATAAGACTTATGGTGATCGCTGTCCTGTGCGAATTCCAGTTAGGAATTTTATGACTGTTTTCGGTTGTTTCCATGGCTGTCTATGGCTGTTTCCATCGAGATCTCTGATTGTTTCCATCAAGGTCTATGGTTGTTTCCATCGAGATCTCTAGTAGTTTCCATCGAGATCTCTGGTTGTTTCCATCGAGATATCTGGTTGTTTCCATCAATGTCTAGTGTCTCCATCACCGCATTCATTCCTTCTACTCAGTTAATGCCGATGCTTAAGATGTCAATTTCCGTTAAGTTGATCACTCTGATGTTTTAAGTTGATTTGTTCACTCTGCAACTGATGTTTTTTTCAAGACAATGAATTTTTTAATGTAAGTTATTCGCTCATGTATAGTTGTGCCAACCACTGCAGGATTAATGTGTGGACATTTTTTCCCGATTTTTGTTCTCATTATGGACTAGTAACTTATCCGTAATTATGACGAACTATTGACATAATATTGTAACTAAATGAATGATATGTTACCAATCACTTGCGCGCTAAGTGACAATACGTTTTATACGTTTTTTTAAATCTCATTTTAGTACCTATTGTTCCTGACAACGTTTTCAATAGGCGACTGCGTGTATCAACAACATAGTTTATACGAATTTTTAGTTCATATATTAGTGGACGTTATCAGTCTCTGCCTCTCGAAATTATCACTGCAGTCATCCAAAAATTTCTATCAGTTTTCAGTCCAACTGTACAATGTCGAGAACACGACACTCGGAGTGTCTAAAATAAGATGTAATAGCAATGATTATCAATACTATATAACATCTCATTCAGTTGAATGGCCTAAACTCTTATAATTATTGTATACATTATGTTCATCTCATCCTCTGTACTTACGTAGTCATAAATAAGGTCCAAGTTTTCCATAGGGCTTCGTGGTTGCGGAAAATATGTTCTGCAACCATATACTAATAACAGGATTTGTCTAATAAACTAGTGTTTTCTTATGTATCTTTTCCTTATCTTCATCTATTTCCGTGTTTTTGCATGAACCAGCAGAACGAAAGCAAAAAAAAACATTGAAAATATGTTTTACGTGTAGCCAAAATACCAAGACGACATTCAGGTCTTCTATGTTGAAATGTTTAGAACGAACAATATTTATGCACCACTTAACTATTCAGGGTATTGCTTTAGTATCATCATAGGAAAATATTTGCGTAACTGAATTTTATTCAATATTACGACGGATAACTCATTGCGTTATTTCTTCACAAGACGATGAATATGAATATGAATTCTTCACAAGACGATGAATATGATTCACAAAAATGAATGTGACTGTCCGAAGAATGACGTTTTCAGTAAGAAAACTGCAAGAGCAGAAAGCGAACGTAGCATTGATACGCTCTGTTGTCTTGAAATATGGATAAGATGACGCATGCAAGAGCAAAAAATATAACTCAGTACTCACTGCAGTGAGTGACAGAGCGCGCATTTTCGCGCCGACGAAAACTTGAGGTCACGGACGGACAGACGGACGGACATGGCGAGCACAATAGTGCATTTTTTCCATAAATGAGAAAATGCGCTAAAAATGCATCACATTTGGGGAAACATGTGGGCCCACTCATTTAATTATGCTACTATAGGATGAAATTCATTTTTAATTAATTAAATTAAAAATTAAATAATTGATTATGCTGTTATAGGATAATAAGAAAACGGAATGGATGTAAATTGTTACCTGGCACTTGACCTTATGTACATTAGCAGGCTTCCGTACACGAATTTCAACTGGAAATACGAAATTTTTCTAACTAACCTCAGGCAAGTCAGAAAATCTAATCAATTCGTACAGCTGTTATAAAATTATCTTATGCAAGACCGTAGCTGCGAGAATTAGAAAGAAAACGTATTTCAATTGGTTATTGGTGTACATTCTTTACGAATAATTTACGAAAAATTACAATGCAGAAGACCGATTCAGCAGGTCTGATCCAAACTGTTTGAACTAAAATTCGGTCGCATTCACCTAGAATATCTAGAAGTTGTATTTCACTGTCACTATCACATTTCACAGTCTTTTTTCTTAATGAGACCGAGAAAAGTCCTAGGGAGTTTCATATTAGATTACACTCGAGAGAAACGTTTGGAAGTCCACAAACACATTAAACACAGCACCCAAAAATTAATTCAAATTAACGATGGGAACACAGAACAACAAATGGTAAAAATTATCCAACATGTGCACTAGCGACTAAAAAATATACAGAAACGTTGCTCAAATTTTTGTCGATTTAGTTTTTTATACAGAATTAGGCTCTATGCTTTTTCACTACTGTAAATGAAAATTACGAAAAAAAATTCAAAAAGTCAGAAACGTTTTTGTTGCCTAAAATTTTGGTAACATGAGCAATAATACAACATTACATCAACGTTTACACGCCAATAAAAATAATTATTTTATCAATTAAATGAGAGCTCCAGAAAAAATTGAGCCCAGGATTATCGATCTTAGAAAGAGACTAAAATTTTAACATAGCGACTAAAATTCCAGGTTATTTTTTAACTTAGCAGAAAAAAAATCGGCGTAGGTATATCGTTCAAATTTCCAAGAAAGCGTTGCAAGCAAACTATTCAATTGCATGGAAAAAATTTTTGCATGGATATTGGATAGCTATTGATCCATATAAGTGTCAGATGTCCGTGAATATCGGATAGCTATGGACATCGCACAGCTATGCGACATCGCTAAATTTCAAGGGAAAAATAGTTTGCAAGGAAATCAGATAGTCGTGAATAAAGTAAAGTTAATAAAGTAAAGCTATAGTCGCAAAAACTCCTACACGTCAGAAATGACCAGATGTGAAATTTAAACTAATCTTAAATTCTAGAAACCGGGCAACAAGGGGTTGAAAAAGGTATAAAATATTGGATGAAAAGGCGAGAGAGAGCCATGCGAAGTTGAAAAGACCATAATAAGGAAATATTCCAGTCATTATACAAATAATATCTATAAGGGAACAAATGCCGACTTATAAGAACCTAAGCAAGAACCACTTACACTCAGAGACACAAATGGGTTTTAAGGGTATTTGAGGCATGTACAACCACTGAAAATAGGATCAGGATGACAAACAAGAGGACAAGTGCACCGCAATTAGGATCACACTGTTAGAAAAAACGGTCCCACTGGCGTTCTAGTGGCCGGTCGCCCCGTGAAAATAAACTGTGTTGCCGTTTTTATCAGATATTCTACGGATTTCTAGTGTTAAATTAGAATAAAAACGGCGACACGGTGTTTCTTTTCACGTGCCGACCGGCCACTGAAACGCCGGTAATACCGTTAACAGTAATTTTTCTAACAGTGTATGACTCCCTCATTCTTCTCACTGTACGCACGCTAGACCGACTACATACAAAGTTCATAAACTTTAAATGGAAGAGATGGCGATAATTTGTGACCACAAACTTAAGTTAGATTAAGTGCCGCTTATGAAGAAATGTTAATTCAACACAGAAGGATACGTTTTTATTTGCCGTGCCTCACCAAAGATGAAATTGCCCATGCTAGCATTAAGCTTCATACAAAATATCCCTCAACATTCATAGCGATAAATGTAATAACTGTTAATCGAAAAGCTATTAAATAAATTCCAAAAGCTTTCAAAACATATTAAGCTTTACTCACATCGCTGGGACAGGATATACTTTTATAAATAGTGACACACTTTCTTGTACGAGTATAGAGCGGCCGTAGCAATGAAATGCTCCTTTGATAATATGGGTCAAAATGACCCACATAAGAGCAAAATGTGCTTGGATATTTGAACAAAGTTTCGCTGATTTCTCTGAATGATACATTAATAATTCTCATGGCAGCTTGAAAATTAAGGAAAATAGGAGATTAAAATCATTAACTAACGATTAACACTACATTGGAAACATTAGCTAAACGACCAACACAATGAAATAATATTAAAATTCATAGCTAGACTTTCTAGACCGCCTTACAAAGTTAAAGAGATCGGCCTGGTGTCTTTGGTAGATTCGAAAGGCTAGGTAGGGTAAAGGCAAGGTATTAGACACGGTTAAACTTACCTTTAGTTTTAACAACGCTTTAGCACTCTATATTAGACACGGTTAAATTTACCTGTAGTTTTAACAATGCATTAACACGTACACTAGGTTATCTCCTTAACATAATAAGATCGAGATATTGACTGAAGTTAAAACACTTAAAAAGTAAATACGTACGTGCAAAATTGGTAAAATATCAAGTAGTAAACGTTAACGTATGAACCATACAGTTAATGAATTAAAGTAAAAATATAATGCGACGTAAAAAGTTTTACATTTATTCAACAAATTATGGACTGAAAAATTGTAAAACAACTTGAAGTAAAAATTCAACAGGTCTTAATTGGTCTCGTTCAACAGGTCTTCTGGAAATTGTTGTTTACATTTGTTCAATTTCTTCATCACAATTTTCTCAAATTATTAAGCCTGTCTTAAGATTAACAATAACCTTCTGATAAAACGGTTTCAACAAAAAAAGCATACGCAATCTGCCGTTAATATTGAAATGAGTATAATAAACCCTGTTTTTTTCACCATCAAAGCTACTTTCAACTCCGTGCTATCTGCTGTATCGCTCATCAATTGTCAGAAGATCCTAAGCAGAGCTGAAGTTTAACTCTTAATACTTATACTAACCCTAAAAGATAATCGTCCTTAAGTTACGGTAACGAGTCATGAAGGTAACAAGTCATAAAAACCAACACGTTAATAAAGAAGAAGATCCACAGGGATTACGAAGCGTCAAACAGCGGCAACTAATTTGCGAGCTTTGTGCTATGAATATAGCGAGGGCGATGATGAAAAAAATATTTCGTATCGTGTAAACCCTGCATTCTGCATGCCTGTTTCAGATCGTTCAAGGATTTATACTACAAATATTTTAAGAAATTGAAGCTTGACAACATCTCTGCTACGTGTAAAGCTGCAAGAACGCTAATCCATCTTCCTCGATGATCTACCCACAATCCTACTTTCTAATATCACATAGGAAAAATCCCGAGGTATTAACGATTTTCACGGGTCTAATAACAGCAACGTGATTAAAAGTCATTGAATCTTTTCCAGAAGCTTGACGATATTTAATTTGCGGTCTCGGCCAAATCCTGGCTTTTTTCCATGGAGCTTATAGAATCGCACGATTCTGCCATTTTTGGATCATCGACATCATCGTGGAGCGTCGATGAACAAATAGAATCAGAGAGACTGGCTTGTGGATTGATGATTGTGCTGCCAGTATTGCCAGACTCTGACTGGGCACTGGACATTGACTGAGACGAGCAAGAGTCTGTCAGAGATACAGCGAAGAGTTCAGGCGGGCATGATTCTGTTACAGCCCCAAGAGGAGGAATAATTTCACAAGGGCATGGAGACAGCACGTCTTCTTTTACTGCCACTTGTTCGTCAGAGGAATTTTCCACCGCCGAAGAAACGCCGTTAGAATTTAGATCAATGGCTTCATTTGTAGCGCGATTGTCTGTGGGGGATTCTTCAAGAGCTTCCAAAACCTTAGCGCCTTCGCCGTTATAGAAACCAGAAGAATGATGTTGTTTAGACGATGGGGACATAGACTTCGATAAAGTTTCAATCGCGGACAAGATTTTTGCTTCCTCCATTTGAGTATCAACCAATTCCTTGTCTCCGCCCTCGGTTAGCTCGGACTGTGTGGAAGATCCATCGGAAAGTGACTGGCTGGAACCAAACGAGTTATCGAAGTCTGGCTGGGAAGGAGCGTCGTCATTCAAACCAGGCTTGGAGCCCGAGAACCGCTTGGAAATTTTTTGCGAGCGAGCCGTGCCACGGCTAGGGGTTGGGGAGCGGTAGCGGGACCGGATGTGCAGGAAAGGTTCTGATCCGGGGGTGTTGAATACAACTACCTGTAAATTCAGGATAATTTCATGTACTGCCGAGCTAAGCTTAAATCTAAATCGATGGTGAGAAAATACAAACAAGCTTTTGATGAGCTTATGCATACCATATGGCATATATCATCAAGCTATTAAACATTTTAAGAAAGATTGAAATAATAAGCAATATGAAGTAAATTTTATAAATTTTAACACCTCCTGCCCCATTGTTAACCACAAAAGCCAACTATAGCACCAGATGTTCATCACCCAAACCACAAACTATTTACCACCCAAGCCCCCATAGTCTACCACCCAAGCCCCCATATTCTACCACCCACGCCCCCATAGTCTACCACCCAAGCCTCATAGTCTACCACCCAAGCCTCATAGTCTACCACCCAAGCCTCATAGTCTACCACCCAAGCCCACATAGTCTCCAACAACCCCAAAGTCGCCCACTTCGGGGTCTTGGTAGACCCAAGCCCCCATATTCTACCACCCAAGCCCCCATACTCTACCACCCAAGCCCCCAAAGTCTACCACCCAAGCCCCCATAGTCTACCACCCAAGCCCCCAAAGCCTACCATCCAAAGTCCCCAAAGTCTACCCCCTAAGTCCCCACCTGTGTGGGGTCGTGGCTGAGGACGTAATGCTCGAGGGTGTCCCAGCCGCCGCCCACGCGCACCATCACGTGGCGGTCCTTCAGCAGCTGCAGCAGCAAATGACTTAATTTACAGACAATTTACATTTAATTTAATTTTATTATAAAATTTACAGACAACTTTAGAAAATGATCTTGTTTTCCTAAAAAAGACTTCAGAAAATGGCTTTGTTATTGTAAGACGTCATTTAAAATAGACTTGATGACGAATTAATTAAAAAAATAATTGTTTTAATAGAAACTGACGTATTCTTTGAAGACAATCTGAGGAAATGACTTCGTTTTCCTAAAAAACAACTTTTCAAAATGGCTTTGTTATTCAAAGACGTCTTTGTAAATTGACGTGACGATGAAATATTTAAAAACGAATTATTTTAATAGAAATTGATGGAATTGCTTGAATACGGCCTTAGAAATGACTGTTTTTCAAAGATGACCTGAGAAAATGGATTTGTTATTTAACGAAAATTTTAGAAAATGACTTGGTTATTAAACTACGGCTTAAGAATATGACTTGATATCGAATCCGATCTTTAAAAATGACATTATTTAAAGATGACTGAAGAAAAGTACGTTGTAATTTGAAGACTACTTTAGAAAATGACTTTATTCGGATAATAGTAGCAGCCTTGTCAACAATAACTAAATATTAAGATAAAATTTTATAATCAATAAACTTAAACTCATGACATATGAGTTGCAGCTGTATATAAAAAAAGCTTCAATGATAAACATGTGCAATATTTCATAAATACAAAAGGCAGATTTATTCCTCGAGGAAGCAAAATAAAAACTGCAAATAATGGCAACGCCGTTGCAAACGGTAAAGAGGCGGAAAAAGATTCATGAGTTGATATTTGAAATCATTATTACATGTACAAAAATTGTTTGAGTAACGAAGTAGCAATCCTGCGTCAGGATTAGATGAAGTTTAATATATGAGAAGTTTAAATATAAGAAATATAGAAAGAAGAATTTTAAATATAAGAAATATAGAAAGAAGAATTTTAAATCTAAGAAATATAAGAAGTTTAAAATATAACGATAAATATGAGACGGCCAGCCTAGAATAGAAAATCTAAGAAGCGAAAATCTCAGAAATTTGAATCTCTAAGCGGATTAAAAATACGATTCAAAAAATGTAAATGAGAGAAATGAGAAAGTATAACACGGTGGGTACCGACCCTAACGTATACACTTTTGCCGTATACGTCGTATTTCCCGTCCGCCAGTTTCTTGATGTGCGTGCGCGTGCAGGAAGCTTCCGTACACGCGCACACACCGCGTGTCTGGCGTGCAATGTCGGCAACCTGAATGATATAAGAAATTATTTCAATAATTTGAATTCCAACAATAACACTAATAATAATAGTAATGAAATATAAAATAATAATAATATAAATAATAATAATATAATAAAATAATAATTGAATTTCAATAAATAATTTCAATAATTATTTATTACTTTAGTAGCAATTGAATCTAATTCTCAAAAAATTGTAATTGAAAAAACTTTAATTTTGCATTCGTAAAATGCGAATAATTTCATTCTGAATACGTTCTCAATTGAAATTGTTTCTAGTGCAGAAATGTTACTTTTTTATCATCATTCGTTATAGCTATCACTTCAATGTTTTATAGGTTATTGAATCAGACAAATTTTCAATTCACGATCGGAGTTTAGTTTAACGTTAAGTTCAATCTAAGTTAAAGGATGACAGTTAAAGAGGATACAAGTTAAAAGTTAGGATTAACAAGTTAAGGCACTCTCCAACTTAAGTTATATCTCATGCTTGTAATTCCTCCTGTACAAACTACACGCGTCCTGGGTCGATTGTACACCGCCGCAGGTCACCGAATTGAAATTCAAACCAAAATTGGTTTTGATTTAGAGACAATCATTACACTGAATTAATGTTTCTAGTCAAGCTTCCCGATGTTATTCAAACAAATTGAAGTTTAACAAATACTTGAAGTTATTAAAATAAAATATAAATTTAACAAATACTCGATTAGATTATTCTACTGAATTAAAATTGAACTCAAAACTCAAATTTAATTTTAGGCCAAAATTATAACACAATTTCTAACAAAATAATTGAAATTTAAAAAAAAAAACTCAACTAGATTTTTCCAAGAAATTTAATAAATAAAAACTAAACAGAATAAATAAATAATAAATTGAATAAATAAATAACAACTAAAATAAATATATAATAAAGAGAAAATGTCAGCTTACGTGTTTATTTACGTTCAATGAAAGATTTAATGCCAAGTGATAGACGGACTGGAAATAAAAGTTTACTAAATAATAAATAAAAGAAATAAAGAATAAATAGAATGAATATATAATAGAATAAATAAGTAATAAATAAAACAAATAAATAATAAATTGAATTGAATCATTCGAATAACTTGAAACTAAACTCAAAACAGGAATTTACGCCACCTATGAGCAGCACTAACGAGTTAGTTGCTCGAGTCATTCTATTTAATATAATAAATATTTATTAATATTTATTATATTAAATTTATTTAATATAATAAATTTATATTATATTTATATTATATTATATTTATATATTATATAAATTTATATTATAATTTATTTAATAAATTTATAAATTTATATTTATTTATTTATTAATATTTATTTTCGAGTTATTCTATTTATTAATAAATAATAAACAACACTTACCCTGTTGTCGAGGTCGCGGTTGAGCTTAGCCACGTCCTCCTGAGCCCTGACACAGGGGGGGCGCGCCGGGGTCACGGGGGGGCGGCCGCTCTTCTGAGGGGTCACAAAAGCCGCCGACCCTCGCTGGGGGGTCCGTTGGGGGGTCCGTGAGGTGGGGGTCCGGCAGGGGATCCTCGAAGTTGGGGTTCGCGATCCTTGTTTTGGTGCCGAGGATAAATAGCGGCGACCTGGTCAGTGATGACATCATTTATGGTACAATAGATATTAATAGTTATACATTTATTAATTGTTACATTAGTAACATTAATGGTACAATAAATATTAATAGTTGTTAATTATTACATAGTTAATTACATAGTTATTAATAGTTAAATTAAATTGAATTAAATTAATTAAAATTAAATTACATAGTTATTAATTATTAATAGTTATTAATTATTACATTAGTAGCAATTGATTATTACGACCCAGCAATCCACCAGCATGCGGGACCCCGTTCTAATTATAATTTATTCAATTATTTATTTTGGTATTATGATTATTCAAACCAGAGAAGAATCAGGCCTGAGGATAATATAGCATATTATTACTTTATTGTTATTTTAATATTATGATTGTTCAAGCCAGAAAAGATACTTTCTAGTATATAAATGCTAAATATATATTTTTTATTTATAATAACATGATAATAGTTTTAGCATTTAAAATATTCATATACTGCACATTTTTTCGCGTAGAAGTTTTAATATTAAACATCAGCAACATATAACCTTTAAAATCAAACATCGTTCACGCAAAATGCCCTTTAGAAACCCGTTGAAAAAAGAATTTATACTAATTATACTTTTAAATCATATGTAATAAATTATTATATTGGAAGAAATTCTCCACAAATTCAGACGTAATAACGTTTTTTTTAAATGATTATACTGAAAGAAATTCTCCAGAAATTCTCACGTAATAACGGTTTTAATGGTTTTAAAATGATTACACTGTGTTGGCGTTGTAGGGGTTGTGTTGGGGGTCGACCTCCCCGAGGTCCGGGGGGTTTGAGCGATGGGGAGGCGGGTCCTGGGGGTGTGGGTGGGGGTCAGGGCTGGGGTGCTGGGTGTGGTTTTCGATCCAGACCAACCCCTGAAAATTAAGTCGAGTTAAAATACATTAATTTACACGACAAAAAAATAATATAAATAAATTATCATCTTTTGATCGTTCCAGACCAACCCCTGAAAATAAGGTCGTGTTAAAATACATTAATTTTCACGACAAAAATATTTTATAATAAAATGAATAATTCATCTTTTTGAATAATCTCAGAAAATAAAAAAAAATTACCTGAAGCGCCAGTAGTTGGTAAGCGCTGAAGAACACATAAATATATTGGATAAACTTTATTGTAATAATGTGACTAGTTAAGTAATTTATGTATAGATAAACGATAAATATAAATAAACTTGTATGGAATGTTAGGGTACATAAAAACTCATTAATTCTAAACTCATCACAAGTAATCAACACAAACTAAATTATAAAAACTACCAAGAAGTTCATTCGCAAGACAAATATATTTAGTCATTCATCTTATTTTAAAAAGTTTTAAACAGATAGTAGAAAAAAAATAAAATCATTTCAACATTATCCAAGTTCAGCACGCTGCCCCAACATATATCAGGTGTAACGAGCAAATAATTATATTAATATTCTTCATTCATCAGAATAATTATCATTTCTGATGAATTATACTACGTTCGTATCCTGTATAATGTTTACTGATTAGGTCCATTTGAAATAAACGTGCAGGAATACAATTTAATAATTAATTATATCTAACTTAATAACCTCTACTTTTCCAACGAAATTAAGTTTGCGAATCAAACAAAATAGATTATTTTAATGATCCCACACAAAACAAAATTTCAACCAGCTTCCTGCAAAAAAATCGTTACTACTCATCACCGACTTTTGCACAATGTATAACAACTAATTTACAAGCAAGAGACAAAGGGATGATATCAACATAGATGACGTGCATAATCAACAGTTGTAGTGATGACGTATATATATTAGACACAAGACCTCTGACACATCCATGCCACATTCCCAGTAACATTTAGTTTAAAATAGTTACTCTCAAGCAAGAACAGTTAGTGCTTAAATAAGTTATTTTCGTTAATTTTGAACTTATTTTATAAGATTTTGTTATTTACAGAAGCGGCGTCTCGCGTCATAAATGAACTAGTCAGTCGTATATTGGTAAATATCGCATTGACTTCAACTCGAGAAAAGCGCTTAGTTATAGCAGGGAAATTTTTCGTTCAACTTAAAATAGGTGCAGGGTAAATAGAAGTCGTCTTTAATGCGATACAAATGATATTTGTAAGCCACTGAACTTGACCTATTTCTGATTTTTGCCGAATAATTAACAAGTAAAAACCCCGTAACAGTCTCGATTTTTTTCACACTATCCTTCTCCTACCTTCAGTTTCTCTACAAAATTTTTTCGCGTTTACGCCCCCAAACCTACAAGCTTTCATTGTTACATTGAATGTAATTTCTCTTTGCCTAAGCCTTTTTTTATACAAGATAATTTTTTTTGTGTTAGAAAAAATATTTTTAGGAATAATCTTTCGCTGCCTTTATATAATCTAGGCTCTCTTTTACAAGAAAGTCTCTTTTTACTTAAGAATGCTCTTTTTATAAAAGAATGTGTCTTTTCATTTAAAAAAGGCTCTTTTTATAGAAGAAAGTCTCCTTCCATTTAGGAAAGGCTATTTTATACATAGAAAAGGTTGTTTTTTACATAAGAAAAGCTGTTTTTCCCATAAGAAAAGCCATTTTTAACATAATACCTGGTTCTCCGTTACCTTGTACACGCCCCCGGCAGCGAGTCTGGCCGGTTCACGATAGCATACATGGCCTGTTTTTTTATAAAAGAAAGTCTCTTTTCATTTGAGAAAAGCTGTTTAATATAAGAAAAGCTATTTTTCAATATAATATCTCATCCATTACCTTGTACACGCCCCCGGCAGCGAGTCTGGCCGGTTCACGATAGCATACATGGCCTGTTTGATGCACTCCGGTTTCGGGGGTGGAGTTGGTTTGGGGCCCCGCGCCCCCACCGGTTTTGTTTTGTGGGGGGTAGCAGCAAGCTGTAATCCCCCAGCATAAGGGACTTTGAATCCCCCAGGGGAGTCACGTCTGTCATGGTCGCAAGAACCATTGCCGTTAGAGTTAGAAGCAGCGTTGCATTCATGGTAGGTAGCGTTGTAGGTGCCGTTAGTGTAAGCCAACAACGGAATGTTACTTTCAACAACAACTGCGATGTCTATGACATCAGGTTCCCCAACGGGGATGGTAGGGGAGGGTAAAGATAGACCCAGTGGGGGATGACATGGGGCTGAACGAAGTCTGGGAACAAGGGCCACGGGGAAGGGGAAGAAAGGGGATGAAATGTTAGGACCACCACAAACACTACGCAGGATTTGAGGAACTTTTAAACCCATGATTGATTACCTTCAGATGTTAATACTTTTAAACTGGCAGGACAGAAATGGGGTTTAAAAAGTTAGTTGTGCATGGTCTAATTACCATTTAAAATGGAATGCATCTGATAACATGAATGAAATACGAACTAAAATATCTAATTTTTGAAAATCATTCCGTGACTTATGCTTAATTCAACACGTTTAGTCACCACATCAGAATAAGATGAACTTACTATAATGGATAATGCATCTAATTTTCACGTCTAAATATGATAAATATAGAGCAATCATGGCAAGAACTTGAAACCCTCATTTGAACTGAGGGTCTAAGGGTCTCTTTTCTACTTGTAATTAATCAGAACATAATCAATAAGTAGACATTAGAGATGCTAGAGCAAGCAGCATGCAAGCCCATCTGTTCGACTATTATAATAATAACAAAACCTTCACAAAACGACACGACATATACCCACGATAATAAAACTAAACTACAGAAACATTAAAACAAACATATTATGTTGGTTAATAAATGAAATTAATTGAAATCATTTTTGTAGCAGAAATAGTGTTGTTAAAAAGCACAAAATTAGATTTTCAAGCACCGATTTTTGCATAAGTTGTTTTAGCCCTCTTCGAATCCCACTAAGTTCGAAGATTAGTTAAACGAATAAATAGGATTTAGTTGACTTCCAACAACGAAAACGAATTTATGGTACGAATAATGTTAATATTTGTTCTTATTTACAGATAAGAAAAAGCCCAAAAATGATTCGATATGAAAATGAAGTTGAGTACTTCAGAGAAACAGTACACTGATTACATTGTTCAGTTCACTGTTAAATATACTGAGTACACTGCTTACACAGTTCAGTACATAGTACACATTTCAGTACTGCGTACACAGTTCAGTACTGCGTACACAGTTCAGTACATAGTACACATTTCAGTACTGCATACACATTTCAGTACGAAGTACACTGTTTATACAGTTCAGTACAGAGCACACATTTCAGTACATAGTACACATTTCAGTACGGTGTACACTGTTTATACAGTTCAGTGCACTGAGTACACTACTAAGTACACTGATTACACTGTGTATTACATCAAGTAATTATTTATTGTTGTACCTGTTGTTCTTGGCAGCGTCCCCGTCACTGGGGGGACTTGGGGCTGAGGGATGCAGCGCCAGGGAGCTGCCCCGCGGGGACGACGCGTTAGAATATCCACTGTCTGACCTGAATATAATATAGGATATTATTACTTTATTATTATTATTTGAATATATTGATTGTTCCAGCCAGAGCATATTATTACTTTATTATTAATTTAATACTATGATTGTTCAAGCCAGAGAAGAATCAGACCTGAAGACATTATTTTATTATTATTATTATTATTGTTATTATTATTAAAATGTTACGATTTTTCAAGCCAAAGAAGAATCAAACGTAAGGATAATATAGGATATTATTACTTTTGTATTATTTTAATATTGGGATTGTTCAAGCCAGAGAATCTTATTACTATGTTATTATTATTTTATTATTATTATTATAATGTTACGATTTTTCAAGCCAAAGAAGAATCAAACTTGAGTATAATATAGGATATTATTATATTATTATTATTATTTTAATATTAGGATCGTTCAAGCCAGAGAATATTATTACTATGTTATTATTATTTGAATATTAGGATTCTTTAAGCCAGGGAAGAATCAGACCTGAATATAAAATAGGATATTATTATATCTTTATTATTATTTTAATATTAGGATTGTTCAAGCCAGAGAATATTATTAATTTATTAATATTATTTTATTATAATGATTGTTCATACCAGAAAATATTATTACTTGTTTAATTTTATTTTAATATTATGATTGTTCAAGCCAGAGAATATTATTAATTTATTAATATTATTTTATTATAATGATTGTTCATACCAGAAAATATTATTACTTGTTTAATTTTATTTTAATATTATGATTGTTCAAGCCAGAGAATATTATAACTATGTTATTGTTATTTTGATAGTATCATTGATCATATCAGAGAATATTATTACTTTTTTATTATTATTTTATTATTATGATTTTTCAAGCCAGAGAAGATAATTTCTAGTATGAATTTATTAATTTTTCTATACAGACAACTAGTATTTTGTCATAAAATATAACTTTATTCATGGACCAAAATAAGTTTATGCTGTTTGATGAAGAATTATTATTATTATTATTTAAGAATTGAGTTTAAATTATTCGTATCCCACTCACCTGGCAGACCACTCCTCCCCCTCCTCCCACTCACCTGGCAGACCACTCCTCCCCCTCCTCCCACTCACCTGGCAGACCACTCCTCCCCCTCCTCCCACTCACCTGGCAGACCACTCCTCCCCCTCCATCTCACCTGGCAGACCACTCCTCCCCCTCCATCTCACCTGGCAGACCACTCCTCTCCCTCCCACTCACCTGGCAGACCACTCCTCCCCCTCCATCTCACCTGGCAGACCACTCCTCCCCCTCCATCTCACCTGGCAGACCACTCCTCCCCCTCCATCTCACCTGGCAGACCACTCCTCCCCCTCCATCTCACCTGGCAGACCACTCCTCCCCCTCCATCTCACCTGGCAGACCACTCCTCCCCCTCCCACTCACCTGGCAGACCACTCCTCCCCCTCCCACTCACCTGGCAGACCACTCCTCCCCCTGCCACTCACCTGGCAGACCACTCCTCCCCATGCCACTCACCTGGCAGACCACTCCTCCCCATGCCACTCACCTGGCAGACCACTCCTCCCCCTCCATCTCCCTCTCCAGCTTGACTATGGAGGGAGGCTCCAGACCCCACCAGGTCTGCGCCAGGCGCCCCACCTCCAGCAGGCACAGCACCACGGTGCGCCCGCCGCTGCCGCTCACTGAACAATTAAACTACAGTTATGAATAACTAGTAAAAAAATTATTAAAATAATACCTATTATATATAAAAAAGCTATTAATAATAATGATTATAAATAACCATTAAAAGCTATTATTAATAACGATTGTAAATAACCAGTAAAAACTAATAAAATAATACCTATTATATATAAAAAAATATTACTAATAACGATTACAAATAGCCAGTAAAAAGCTTTTAATAATAACGATTATAAATAACCAGCAAAAAACCTACTATTAAAAACGATTATAAATAACCAGTAAAAACCTGCTAAAATAGTACCTATTATATATAAAAAATTTATTATTAATAATGATTACAAATAACCAGTAAAAAGCTAGTATTAATCACGATTATAAATAGCCAGCAAAAAACCTATTATTAATAACGATTATAATTGACCAGTGAAAAACTTTTTATTAATAACTCTTATAAATATTCAGTAAAAACTTATTATTAATAACGATTATAAATAACCAGCAAAAAAACCTATTAAAATAATACCTACTGGTATTATACATAAAAACCTGTTATTAATAACGATATAAATAACCAGTAAAAACTATTAAAATAATACCTATTATATATGAAAAAAACTATTATTAATAACAATTATAAATAACCAGCAAAAAAAAAATTTAAAATAATACCTATTATATAAAAAAAACTATTATTAATAATGATCACAAATAACCAATAACCAGTAAAGATCTAATATTAATAACGATTATGAATAACAAGTAAAACCTATTATTAATGACGATTATAAGTAACTAGTGAAAAACATATTATTTATAACTCTTATAAATAACCAGTAGAAAACTATTATTAATAACGATTATATATAACCAGTAAAAACCTATTATTAATAACGATTATAAATAACCAGTAAAAACCAATTATTAATAACGAGTGTAAATAACCAGTAAAAACCAAATATTAATAACGATTAAAAATAACCAGAAAAAACTATCATTAATAATTAATGATAGTGATGCGGTCATCACAAAAATGACAATAATTTGCATATCTTGAATGAGACATACAAATTTTAAGTTAATAATTAGGAATTATTAATTTTAAAAATATTATCAATTCTAAAAATAGAATAAAATTATAATAAAAAATATAAATAAAAATTCTAATTCAGATAATAAACTACTATTTAAAACGGTTTTCATATTAGCATTGAAAGAATAGTAAAATGATTTACATAACGCGAAACTTATGTTAATGATATTAATTAAAGATTGCAGTGTGGTAAATTTATTTTCAATCATGATAGTAAAAACAAACTTTTGTCATCTTAATCTATGAAATACGTTGACAATTATTGGATACTAAACAAATAGTGGTAGATAAAATAATATGAATAACATATATCACCATATAGATCAATCACCGGAGAAGCTAAATAATTATAATTATGATTATAATAATCATTATTACTGCTAAAAAAAATACAAAAACAAAACATCTACAAAGTAATCATTATTATTATTATATTAATCCCTATTATTATTATAACTAATTATTATAGCAATGATTATAATGATCTAATAAGTAAATTGTAGTTAGCAAGTAGTTAAGAAAAGCCCAGAAGACTGACCGAGATCTTCGGTCTCGAAGAGGAGGTTGTCGTGCACGCCGAGACGGCGGCAGAAGCGCAGGAAGTTAGCGATGTTGTCTCGCGCGAAGAACGAACCTTGCCGGGCCCGGTCCCAGGTCTTGTAGGGCAGTCTCGGTACCTCCTACGAGACAAGGATCTTTATTATTATTAGCATTATTATTATTATTATTATACTATTTATTTAACGAGCCTTGCCGAGCCCGGTCCCAGGTCTTGTAGGGCAGTCTCGGTACCTCCTGCGAGACAATCATCATTATTATTATTAGTATTGTTAATATTATTATTATACTATTTATTTAACGAGCCTTGCCGAGCCCGGTCCCAGGTCTTGTAGGGCAGTCTCGGTACCTCCTACGAGACAATCATCATTATTATTAGTATTGTTAACATTATAATACTACAATCATCATTATTATTATTAGTATTGTTAACATTATTATACTATTTATTTAACGACCCTTGCCGAGCCCGGTCCCAGGTCTTGTAGGGCAGTCTCGGCACCTCCTGCGAGACAAGGATCTTCATTATTATTATTGGTATTGTTAATATTATTGTTATACGATGTGTATCGTAATATTATTCTCTATTATTAATTAATAATAAATAATTATTAATATTTTAATTAATAATTATTTCATTATTATTATTAATTAATAATATTATATTATTATTATTAGTATTGTTAATATTATTATTGTACGGAGTATATAAGATTCACTATTTGTATATTCTTATTCTTATAATTACGCATTATTCAATAATTATATTCATATTGTTAATATTATTATTGTACAAAGTAATTGTCGTGACGTCTTGTTCAAACAAACTTTAAGGGCGCGCTAAACAAAAGTTTGATAGTAAACGAAAAATGAACACGCACGAGAATTTAAAGAGAATGATACATATTTAACTCAAATTAAGGGTAGTAGTGGCATTTCGTAGGAGGCAAAGATGATATGTATTTAATTTAAATCAATGGCAGTCACGGCACCTCCAAGAGGCCACGGAAAAAGTATTCTAATCGTATTAATCCTAATGAAATATATGGACGAACGTAAAGCTAATGGACGAACGTAAATATGAAATTTCGAAAATAGTGCAAGCATAGTTCTTATTTTATTGCACAAATTATATCAAATAAATGGATAATAGTTCATATTGTTGATTGCATTTCAACTTTAAAATTTTAAATTTAATAAAATTCATTTACATTTTTTAGCACAAATCGAGAAACTTGATTCCCAGTGAGAAAAGCAAAAAGAGGCTGAACAATTCTCAGAATATATGGTCTGAGAAGAAGATGTAATATATATAATATATATTGATAAAATATATTATATATAATATATTTATACAAAATATATATAATATATTATATTATATATATTCAGAAATATATATAATATATTTCTGAACAATTCTCAGAAAATCAGCCTCAACAAAACCTAAGGTCACGACCAAGATTCTTAAATAATCGTTTCCGATAGAACCATCGAGCGAAACATTACAACCATTGAACCGCTACAACCATTGAGCGAGTATCGCATTGGGCAGAACAATTGCGATAGGAAGGCTGGAAATAACGTACTACAAGATTACGTATTCATACGAATTTTGAGAAGCAACAGTGGTTTGCAATCTTCATACGGATAAAGACGTTTACAAGGTACAGGCACCACAGCCTTTCTCCACAATTTAGTTAGGAAGATTTTTCATCGGATTTTATGATTATAAAGATAAGTCTTTGTCACAGGAACGATAGAGAATACTTTATTCCATCAAAACAATCAAAATTTATTCACAGTTGATCACTTTCAGGAGAAATCTGCAAATGAACTAAGATGAAATATCTCGTCTTCTCACATGCTGTGATTTTAACTTCCGGTTTAATATTATAGCTGGTATTTTCCTTTACTATAAAACTACTATACTATTATACTGAACTCAATATTTCGTAATAATTTTTGGTGTACTGTGTTCGAATTTCTCAAAAATGCCTCGTCTCACATTCCCTTCGTCTCACGTTCCCTCGTCTCACGTTCCCTCGTCTCACATTTCCAGGTTCGTCTTACCTCATGGGGCTAGTAACCGCCGTTGTAACGACGATCCATTTTAAATTCTCGTTCCCATTGACCCTTGAAAGGCACACACTAAAAAAGAACCCGATAGCCACATTTATTGCAGTGCCAGACATTGGATAAAATTTTGAACATAGAAATGCTTTCGATGCCGATCTCTGTGCAGCGCAATTTTTGGAGCATTCTTTCAGAACTGGTTATTCAAATGGAGTTACAAAAGCGATTATTTCTGTTCGTAAATAAAGAAATAATAAATAATTTCAGTCGTGGTACATGAAAAAAACACATGGTTAGTACAAGGTAACACGCAAATTTTACAACAAAATACTTACAAAAATGGGTAGGTAATATACTATTTCGCTTAAAAAAATAACTACGAAATAAATAAACAAAATTTATTTACAAAACCTAGGCTAGACATGATTCCGTGTAAGAAAAATTACCACGAAATAATTAAAAAAAAACTTAGCATTACACAATTCCAAGCACAATTACAATCATACTTCGTATTAAATATTTAGTTAGATTACGTACGAGTTCTGAGAGTCCCATTTGCCTGGCTTCTTGCGCCCTGAGGCTCACGATGTCAGCGAGACGACACAGCAGCACTCCGGTGCCTAGACGCTCCAGCAGGTTAAGATGAGTTAAGCCGTCATCTCCTGTAAAACATATACATATAATTTAAATTTTAGTAATAAATAATGAACATTTGATTTAAATTTTAGTACTAAATTATCAGGCCGTCATCTCCTGTAAAACATATATTATACATCTAATTTAAATGTTAGTAGGTACTAAATTTAACGCATTTGATTGCATTTTTGGTACTAAATATAAAACATTTGATTTAAATTTTGATGCTAAATATAAAACATTTGATTGAAATGTTATTAATAAATAATAAACATTTGATTTAAATTTTATTAATAAATAATATAATAAACATTTGATTGAAATTTTAGCAGTAAATAATGAACATTTGATAGAAATTTTAGTACTATATACTGAAAAATTTGATTGGAATTTTAGTAATAAATATAAAAGACGAGAGTGATATTTTAGTACTAAATATCAAACATTTGAATTAAATTTTAGGACTAAATAATATACATTTAATTTAAATTTCGCACTAAATATTATACATCTAATTGAAATTTCAGTACTCATTATTATAAATGAAAATCAAAATTGCGATGCAAATATTATACCTACATTTTGTGAAAATTTAGGTCTTAAAAATTGTACATTTGTTCCAAATTTCAGAATTACACCATAATAAAATAGAAAAACTAGCTATAGGTTAAGGGGAAACACGAAGTTTAGGTTCAAGAAATGTACTAAACATATGTCTAATATTGGAGAAAATTCAACTTATTCATCAAATTTGAAGTAACGCAAAAAAATCCACGGTGTCTACACTTGCAATTTCAGTTAGCTGTGCTACGCCGGTCATGATGTCAACGCACCTCGCAAAAACTTTTTTATTAAACTAATCAGAAATATCGACCAACAATAAACATATTTAACCCATTAAACAATCTTTTTATTTGAAATTCAAGTTTTATTTTGAACACTCTTCACTCGGAGACATGAATGAGACAGTGCAGTTTTAAATGTTGTTTGGGTCATATTGACTCAGCTTGGCCCGGCAAAAGAGATATCGGGACAACGACTGCTTTTTGCTCGTGCTGATCGTAATAATGTGTATATTTGAACAATATAACCATTTTTATATTTTTTATATTTACTAATTTTTCCGAGTGTTACAGTGTCGCGACGTTTTTGACTGCAGGAAATAACCGCGACTGCCTTTCATTTTGAAAAGGCAATAACACTTCCAACGAATTTATGAAGAAAATCCAAAAGGGTGCTTTTCACTAAGAGAAGCTAAGAAGGTCTAAGCGGCAGTGCAATAAGTTCCATGGCGACATTGATTACTTTAAGAAGAAGCAAACTACACTTGTGATGCTAACACTCTAGCGAGGATGTGAGAACATTCCGTAGCTTTTGACCCGACGTTAACATGGGTTTGGTTTTAAAACCCCGAATAACCCTCATTCTATGGTTTTAAAACCATCGGTTAGGTTTTATAACCCCGAAAGACCCTTATTCTATGGTTTTAAAACCATGGGTTTGGTTTTAAAACCCCGAAAACCCCTTATTCTATGGTTTTAAAACCATGGGTTTGGTTTTAAAACCCAAAAAACCCTTATTATATGGTTTTAAAACCATGGGTTTAACATGAGAGGTCGAAACCGACGGCACGCCACAATATAGATATTGAACTTCTTCAAGTTTAGCAAATAAACTAACAACTGACTGCAACAAATTTCACGAACTATTTCGTCCATTACAATTCTCTTAATCCTTTTATTTTTATGATAACCAAACACAACATTATAGACTAACAGCGCATAACTAATTATAGAAATAGTTTATAACTTTATATACCTTATATCATTTGTCTTTATTTAATAATATTTATTATTACTTTATTAATATTTATTATTACTTTATTAATATTTATTTTTACTCTATTCTATATTTTCAAGCAGAAATTAGCTAAAAGAAATGATAATAATAACACTCAGCTCTCAGCGAATCGGAATCTTTATTCGAAAATTTATTATTTTTTGCAATTCTAATATAATGAAAATTCGAATGAATTTTCGCGGCTTTGACTGAGCTTTACCGCGCTTCAGTTCGGTTTAGGAAGTCTCTTAGCTAATGTCAATACAAGGCAAAGCGTAGAAAATTAATTTAATTTACTAATTAAGAAAACAAGCGACAAAACGCGGCAATTAGAAACCTCGCGTATTCAATCACAAAATTAAGGCCTAAAAACAGAGGCCTACTATACGTCAACATGAAATAAACTTCCCTCCTATAAATTCATCTAAACGTAAATTAATCCAAACATTTATTCCTCTAAATGTAATTAATCGTCTATATGTAATTAATCTAAAAATGTAATCTAAATGTAATTATCCGTCTAAATGTAATTAATCGTCTTTTTTTCGGCCGACCTGGAGTTTCTAAGAATCCCAGGATATGTTTAATGTATATTTTGTGTCAAAATTTACATTAATAAAAAAATACTGTCAACTATCTTAAATAATTCTTATAATTAATAGACGAATTTATTTTAAATTTAAAATATTTACACTAAATTTTTCTGCAAGAATTTGTTTACAGGAAATTTACCGGAAGAGTACGAAAAAATTTCGCACTCTCTTCCGGTAAAAAGATTTATAAAATTACCGCATAGCGTACATACAAAACAAATCAATTTTCATATTATGGAAAAAATCAACAGCAGTAGATTGCACAGCTTGGCAAGCCAATCTGGGACGCCTTACTCTGCAATCACACTCACCTAGCAGCTTGGCAAGCCAATCCTATAGTCTACCTCGACAATCACACTCACCTAGCAGCTTGGCAAGCCAATCCTATAGTCTATACTCACCTAGCAGCTTGGCAAGCCTGTCCTCTACGTCTACCTCGACAATCTCACTCACCTAGCAGCTTGACAAGCCAATCCTATAGTCTACCTCGGCAATCTTACTCACCTAGCAGCTTGGCAAGCCAATCCTATAGTCTACCTCGACAATCTCACTCACCTAGCAGCTTGGCAAGCCAATCCTATGGTTTACCTCGACAATCTCACTCACCTAGCAGCTTGGCAAGCCAATCCTATAGTCTACCTCGGCAATCTCACTCACCTAGTAGCTTGGCAAGCCAATCCGCGACGTCTTCTTTCAACGGCAGCAGTTGTCGCTCGTGAGCCTCTGCGATCTTGGCGTGTAGGAGAGCTAAATATTCAGTGTCCGACTGAGGGAACTCGTCGTAGTCAAGTTCCAGGCAGAAGCTGGGTTCTCTGCAAGTGGTTTGTTGAAAAATGTGTTAAAAAATCTTCGTGTTTATGTAATACACATTTAAAAACTTTTAGTGTTTGTGCGATACACATTCGTGAGTTTTGTTAAGAAAAAATCAATTTTTGCCCAAAAAATTTGTTAAAAAATATTTGTGTTTATGTAATACACATTCGTATGTTACAAAATTTTGGTGTTGTGCGATTTACATTCGTGAATTCTGTTAGAAAATAATATAAATTGTGTGCTCCATCCTAATAATTCATTTGAGTCATGTTAATGATAGAAGAGTTTCATAGAAAGATCAAAATTGTAGTTCTGCAAATGCTGGATGTGTACTTGAAGAAGAGTTTTGAGTCCAATAAATATTTTAAACTGACATCACAGACTGAGGACTAACTAGATTGCAATTTTACATGTGTTTTCCGTTAGAAAATTTGTGATAAGAATTATGAAATATATGAATATATCACATGCTTGCATAAATTCGAACAATTATTTAAAAACTATAAACGAGTAATGCTTTAATGTTACCGTGCTGGTATGACTAACATCTAGTAAACAACCTAATTGAAGGATAACTAATTAAATTATACATAAGCCACAACATTAAAACTTTCACCAAATGAAGCAAACAGATACACAAAATTAATGAACGTGCATCAATAAAACATTGTAAAATATTTGCTTCTTTGCAGTACAATAAAAAACATTTGAATGAGTAAAATAAGTATAAAACATGAAATGTCGGTAAAATTTCGCGAAAAATAGTAATACAAATAAAAGCATGAGAATTCAAAATAATGGGCAAAAATTTTGACGTACCCTTTAAAGTATACAAAAATAACAATTTGAACTTAAATACGACAAAAATTCAAGACGGGATTGAACCTGCCAATAAAAATTTTAAAAGGAAACAAAAGACACGAAAATTAAAACGCGATTAGTTTTCAGTGAAGCAAATACATTAAATTTAGTATACATATCGAAATAAAAAGCTCGTGAAATAGATAATAATAAAAGTAACTATACCTTTTAGGACATCAAAATACAAACATAAAAACTAAATATACCGAATTTATACCGCATTGTATCATGTGGTGTAATCAAATTCTTACAGGGCAACATAAATTCTAAAATACTTCTACGTCAGAATCCGAAAACTGAAGAAATAATTATCTAAATTTAACTAGCGAAAAATAAATTAAAAGGGCATCTTCCTAAAATACTGTACCTTTAATTGAATGGTGCACAAAACGGCACTTGCGAGAACGAAATTGAACGCAATAACAGAATTAATATATTTAACATGCACTTCAAGATAAAATTAATATACATATTTAACAGCACATCAAGACAAAATTAATGACCGCGAAACTAAAAAGATAACAAATGTGATGAAACTGAGATACTGACAACAAATGTGATGAAACTACACAATGCAAAAGGCATAATTTGTGAGAATAAATAATAATTTTCACTAGAACATCATGGCAAGTTACTCTAATACAATGGCGAGCATATGACTCAGTAATTCACACCATTCTGCCATGCACATAATAATTTCAAATTTAAGTACAATTCATTTCCATTTTCCAGCATTGAACCTGACTGTTCAATTTCTTCAATTTAGTTATAGCCAATCAATCCGCGATTTTCTCGTTAACTCTCGCCGCAACTTTCTAAATTTCACCAAAAAAATGAAAAAAATTAACCGCCTCCCAATATCGCCAATTGGTTTGTCTCCCAAATGTTCATAATTAAATACTCGAGTAAAAAAAGGCGCTCAAACTAATAACTTTTTCTTTTTTAAATGAAACCTCAACAACAGAAACACATGCGAAAGCAGAAATAAAAAAAGCGTTACAATCAATGAATAAGTTTAGTTCTTTTGCCGTTCGAGAATTTGATAAATTCATCACTTCAGTATGCGTAAAATGAAATTATATTTCTTAGTATAATGTTCTGACAAATTTTTTGTGTTAATAAGAGTCAAATCTTTACGAACTTCATGTTCCAATTGCCATTGCAGACTGAAGTGATGATATTTATTCTCATGAGGCAAAAGCAGGTATAAATATTGAACCTGGACTTGCTCCTGGGCGTCCGTGGGGTCCTAGGAGTTCTAGGTCTCACGTCAGGGGTTCTAGACGTAACTTCGGAAGTTCTGGGCGTCACTGGAGGAGTTCTTGGCGTAAATTCTGAAGAAGTTCTGGGTGTTACTGGAGGAGTTCTATGCGTCGCGTCAGGAGTTCTGGCCGTAGTGTCTGTTCTTTTCACATCTGGAGAGACTCTTGATATATCGTTATTCTGTCTTCCGGAAGAAACATGAGAAGCGGAAGGTTCGATGAATTTGGAGGCTGTGTTTCTTTCGCCGTTGCTCATGACGTCGTTTTGTCGTCGCTGAGGAGCCGTCGGTGACTTTAAATACGTCGTCGTTTGATCTTTAGATGACGTAGATCTAGCAACGGCAACTACATCTTTTCGAGGTTTCTGACTGAAATTTGTAGGTTTCTGCACCTGTGCTCTGACTTGAACTGCCGGATGAACAGACTGTGCCTTAGATTGGGACGGAGCTGATGTGTAGCCACATGAAGAAGTAATAACTTGTGATCCTTTAACAGAAGTAATAATAACCTCAAATTTTCGAGATGGATCGTCTCTACACACAAGAGGACTTTCTTGAGCCTCGTTCAAGTTTCTCTGTATAAGACTCTTACCGTTAGGTTGAGCGGAGCACATTGAAGGGTCTGATTTCTTCAGAGGAGGATCTATTGAAATTTCTGCTGATAGTCTCAAAACATCGAAGTTATGATCCACGGCGGAATTTCTTCGACTAGCTGACTCGATTTGTTCTTGGGAAGGTTTTGGGGCGATTTCAGGCTTGCAAGTTCGCAACTGAGAACTCAAGCGACTTCTTCCAGAATCCTTCATATGTTTTAAATCCTTATGCGTAGTGTCCACTGTGTTTTCAAACACCGTTAATGGTTGCAGAACCGAATCTTCAAGTTTAGATATGGCTGCATCAATCACTTTTTGTGCCAACTTAGTTTCGGCAACAGCCATTGCTGACTTTAATGTACTAGAGTTCCCGGGTAATGCCTTTACATCCAATGTGTTCAAATCGTCCACCTTGCGTTCCACATCAGAGCATGGACCAGATTCGTTCTCTTCGAATATAACTTTAGGCTTTTTGCAAGAAGATTTTCTGGACAAAGAAGGCTGGAGAGTTTCACTAACTTTTTGAGGGATTTCCCCAGATGCCGGGAACAAAAATTCCCCGGCATCACTGACCGTTGCGTCTTCGTATACTCTGGCCGCTCTCACGAAGCCGGAATTGGGAGCGTCAATCATGCCATTAGGGGTAGTGGGCTTAGATTTCTGCCCCGGGGGATCAGGAGTTCTTTTCCTAATTTTGGGACGTGAAGGAGGACTTATGGAAAAATTAACTGACATTTTAACGGGGATTTCGTCTAAATTACATCGGGATTGAGCAGTCTTCGAGATCGGTGTTTCCGGAATAGAACTCACCGAATTTTTTTCACGACCTCTTGATCGACGTCCGTTGTTCTGAAGTTCAGATTCGTGAGGCGGAGGGAGCTGATAAGGAGGTGAAGTTTCAGAAGGAGAAATGATATCGTCAGGAGGCCACCAAGATTCGCCTGGCAAACTTGGACCAAAAGCAAGCTGCACGGGAGACATATCGAGTTCTAAACTATCACCACACAAAGCTTCTCCAGCTCCCTCTCCACTAAAACCTTGTAATGGTGGCTCAATTCTTTCGATATTCTCGGGGAAAGACCGTAAACATGACTGGTCTAATCGACCGTCCGATAAGTTCCTTGGTAGTACGGAACTTGGTATAAAATCTTTATCTTGTCGGTACACCGCTTTATCCAGTCGCCCATCCGAAAAGTTTCTAGGTATCGTTCGACCCAGACTCGGATCATACGAGCTCCTGGGACAACTTGCAACGGATATCACATCCGGGAACAACTTTGCATCACGATTGTCACGATCCGTGATTGTTCTATCCTCATTCAGGGGTACTATGCGTCTCACTGTCTTGCCGTTAACAGAATTTGTGGCCTCGGTCACTGCGTTGGGCCGATACGGGGATGCGAATTCGTACGTTGTAGGTGCAGAAGTTGGTGACTTGTAATGAGCGACCGTAAAGAACGGAACATCGTAATCTCCTCCAGAAGGGGAAAGAGGATCTTTTCTTCTGGAGCTCATCGTATGATTAACAAAAACTTTCACACTAAAAACCACTGATGTTATAAATACAAATAATTCAAAGTGATCATAGTGATAAATTCCATTCAACCTGAAGATTATAGATTGTCATCGGGTGTAACAAGCGGCATCACGACTGTCGCTTTCCAACTGAAATTAAATTCGTCGAGTATAATTAGTTTCGTGTCGGTTAGACTTGCTTTCACACAACACATTTATTTCTTAAAGTTACTTAAAACGTTTGTTCGTTTTAAATTTTAGTAAAACTTGATGCTTTATCCACAAATAAGCAGTAATCAATTAGTGAAGTGAATATAACAGCAATAAAAGTTAGTTTGTCAATTTACCAAGAATTGTACTAACTACATACCCAGAACGAAATTAATTGAGTTCATCAGAAGTTTTAACTTAGGACGGCTCCAATGCTTAATAATATACAGTAAAATCAGTGCAAAATATGTCCCTGTAATGAAGGTACAATGACACTTTCATTTTCCTTTCCAATTGACATTTATTTACAAAAGCATTAACAACCGAGTGTCTATCCATTGAGCATCCGCCTATCATACAGACACAACATTCATCTCACTCAAAGAAATGAGATAGACTTTGTCCAATTAACAATGCAATTTCGCAATCCTTAATCTGTACAACCAGGCATTATATAGGACGCATCATTGCTAAGTGTACCAATATGTCGATATTTGGACAATATTCCCTTTTGTGAGTGATATATGTGATAAAATGCTGTGAATGTTCTGCGATGTTAGGAATCGGCGACAGTCCTATACGACCTACCAAACGCTGAAACCGCTATTATTATTATTATTATTATTATTATTATTATTATTATTATTATTATTATATTGCTTCTTCACGATTCATCAAGCCTGCGCATACATTGTTTAGTGCATGCATGCTAAGAGGGAGTATATTTATAAGTAACCAACCAACTAATACACGATCATTTCACTCAATAATATGGGACCAACCTAATACAAGGGTGGGGGATAATGCAGAAAAATACCTCTGAGTTACCTGATTCAGTGCATTTGATACCTTTTAAAAATTTTCAACTCGATTTAAATTTTTTTAAATCGAGTCAGCAAGCACTGCATCTAACAAACAAATTATAAGGGGAAGAGGGACCAAGCAGAAAGTTACCTCCAAATTCACTGTAATATATTGATATATTTTTAGCGCATTTTCTCATTTATGGCAAAAATGCACTATTGTGCTCGCCATGTCCGTCTGTCCGTCTGTCTGTCCGTCTGTCCGTCCGTCTATCCGTGACCTCAAGTTTTCGTCGACGAGAAAATGCGCTCTCTGTCACTCACTGCAGTGAGTACAGAGTTGTATTTTTTAACTCAACATAGAGAGATTTTGTCTACAATTTGATAATACAGGGGGAAATAATGCAATTATAGGCTTCCTATGCTACAGTGAGAGTCACATTGGTTCAGGGTAGTAAACATAAAGATAGTGTGTACGCGTTTGGCTGAACAATTGGACGAAATACTGATCAAGTTAAAACAACTTTTATATTATTGGTTGGTTCTTTGTAGGGCAAATATAAAACTTAGATTCAGAGTTAAAAATTTTTAAAATTCATGTCATAATTAGTAGATTACTCAGGACACAATTCCTTTGTCCATTGAGAAGTTTAAATCATTTGGTGATTAGTAGACTGTATGACCATAGATAGGAGTCCTATAGTTATGCCATATAATTATAGACGATTTAATTAACTTCAGCCGTTAATAAAATTCTCTCATTAGACCACACAAAAACTATATATTACAAAATAAATTTAAATCCATTTCACAAAAATCGTTCATCAGCATTTGTTCACTAATCAGTGACGAGTAAATGACCAGTTCTTTCCGAAACAAAACTCCTATTGGTGCGTCTCAAAATACAAATATTGTTCATTCTATGAATAAATTTTCGGCGAGAAAATCAACTTTTCCTACAACCTATCATGTTTGGTAAAATTTCAAGAGTTTTTCAATAATTTTATGTTATTGATCACTCTAAGAATGAATTTTTGGCGATAAAATCAACTTTTCCTACGTATTAAAACTTCAACAGTTGTTCAATAATTATTTGCGTAGATTTTTCATCTCACATTTGCGTGGTGATGGGAGCGTCCTTCATCTTGGAGGGGGTGGGGGATGAGGGGGGATCACCAATAGGGGGGACCACAATTTTCCCTAGGGGGAGGGATTGGCCTGGCTAAGCTGGAGCACTGTAAAAAAAAAAAAAAAGCATTAATGAACATATAAAACATACAGAAAAATAAAGATTCAACATTATTGAACATATAAAACATTTACCGGTAGTATCATACTAAATACCCAATTCATTTATTTGCGATGCGTAAAAATAGAGCATTAATGGACGTTTAAATAAAAAAAATTATTGAAATTTCGAAGATATTTCTGCGATTTTATCGAAAGACTTCAAGAAAATCCCTGGGCTTGTGAACAATCAGAACTTTGGCTGCCTAAATCCGGCGGAGAGCAAAGCTGTTGAACTGAACAAAGTTAGGCGTAGAGGGACGATGTTGACTCTAGTAAGAATCGATGGTATAAAATCAGGAATGTAAAGAATCTAGCTGTGGTATAAAGAATCAGGAATGAAAAGAATTTGTGTTATAAAGAAATATGAATATAAAGAATCTATGGTATAAAAAATTACGGATATATATAAAGAATCTGTGGTATGAAGAATTACGGATATAAAGAATCGGTGGTATAAAGAATTACGGATATAAAGAATCGGTGGTATAAAGAATTAAGAATATAAAAGGATCAGTGGTATAAAGAGTAAGAAATATAAAGGATCGGAATAAGGAAGAACCAAGAATATAAAGAATAGCTGATATAAAGAATCCCGGAAAAAAAGAATCGGTGGTATAAAGAAATACGGATATAAAGAATCTGTTGTGTGAAGTGCCTGTTGTATAAAGAATCGTTGGCATAAATAATCGGCGGCATAAAGAATTAAGATTGTAAATAATTGAAGAAACAAAGAATCATGAATATAAAGAAAAAATATATATAGAAAATCGGGGAATTAAGTCACCAAAAAGTCGCAAAATTGCATGACATAAAATTACGTTAGATCGGAGTGGCAAGTATACAATGAAATGTATAATAATTCATCGCAAAAACATGCTCAGTTATCGTAGAGACTACTACATTCGAAACAATTCGTACAATTTATTTTCAATAGATCAGAGGATTTTTTTCTACATTTACTCTGCATTCGATTTAAGAAACTTACATGGTTTAACCCTATAACGCTCTATACAAAATACCGTCAGCGCAGTGGAATAAACCAGCCGATACAATACGACGTACAACACGTATTTTACAATTATATTTATATATTTACATGTATTTTACAACTATAATTACAATTATGTTTATATAATTACACGTACTTTACAATTATAATTACGATTATTTATATAATTACACGTACTTTACAATTATAATTACAATTATATTTATATATTTACATGTATTTTAAAACTATAATTACAATTATATTTATATAATTGCACGTATTGTACAATTATAATTACAATTACTTTTATATAAGTACACGTGTTTTACAATTATAATTACAATTATATTTATATAATTACACGTATTTTACAATAATAATTACAATTATATTTATATATTTACATGTATTTTAAAACTATAATTACAATTATATTTATATAATTACACGTATTTTACAATTATAATTAATTATTCAATAAATAGGCTGCGTAAATATATAATTTACGCAAAACAAAAGGGGAAAAGAAGTATTTACATAGAAGTAAATACATAGAACATTATTTATTTACATAGAAGTTTTATTATTTAATATACATTTAATACATTATTATTCACATAGAAGTTTACTTCTATGTAAATACGTTGTATTTACATAGAACTAAACTTACGTTGAATATACGTTGTATTTAAACGTATTTACATAGAAGTAAGTTGTATACGTTGTATTTACACGTTGAAAATACGTTGTAAAAAAATACGTTGTAAAAATACACGTCTAAATACGTTGTATTTACATAGAAGTTACAGCAACGATGACGTTCGCAATCTCTGATAAAGTGGAACATGCGAATGCAGAGGCTTGAGCTTCGCTTAAAGATGAGCTTCGCACCCGCGAGTAGACCAGGGAATACGGGTATCTAAGTAGATATTATGGTAGATGAGAAAACTACGCAGACATCAGGATAGATAAGGCATCTACTGAGCATTGCGGTAGATGAAACATCTACTGAGCATTGCGGTAGATGAAACATCTACTGAACATTGCGGTAGATGAAACATCTACTGAACATTGCGGTAGATGAAACATCTACTGAGCATTGCGGTAGATGAAACATCTACTGAGCATTGCGGTAGATGAA